ATTCATTGATTGTGCTTAAAAGAGAGTGGTTCTCACTCTGAATCTGAATCTGAATCTCCGTCGTGAGCTCCGTCGCACACGGCGTCCGCGAGAGGATTGTGGTCCACCGGATTTGTGTGGAAATTGCCGCCCACGTGGCCTTCATTCACAAGTCACGTCCTGTATTTAATTAATTAAAAGTTTTCGGTTTAATATTGCCTTGATTTGCGTTGCGTTACCCTCTGGCCGTAGATGACGAATCATCTGAACCGGCGCTGCCTCCCCATTCTTGTCCGATACGTTCTGAATTTCATCGGCTTCGTAATCATCACCCCATACGTGCCTTCCCACCAAACACGTGTGAGTATTTTCTTTTCATTTTCAATCTATTATAATTTCCAAGTTCCGTTTTCTGATTATCTCTAATGACTGATGCATTATTTTAAACTGCAGAGTTGCTTCTCCGGCGAAGAGGATGCATTCCGGTCCGGCGAGCGGTGCAATTAATGAAATGAATTAACATTAATTGGTAAAAGAAAGAACGGGAGGAGGGTAAAGTGGGGGCATGAATCTGGAATTAAATATTGAGAGAAATAATGAGGCGGTTGGCGTTGTGGGTTGGCCAGTTAAGTTATTAGTTGGCAATTGGCATGTCACAAGGAAGGAGGATGACTCTGGCTGGTTGGTTTGGTGACATTTACGGAAATGCCCTTCTGGCTTTTGGATGTGACATTAGAGCATATACCATATAACATAATTAATATTCGGAGGGGTCAAAGGAATTAGGCCAACCCTTGGCTTCAAAGAAACGTGAAGACTTGAGTAATGATTTCATAAATTCCAAAGCTTTAAAAATGATTAGTTTATTAAAATTTTCGAATTTTTAGGATGGAAGTCTCTGGAGAAGTTATGAATTTACTTATAAGGAGAACTATTTTTTAAATTGGGAGATGGATTATTGGATGTCAAATAATATTTTTGTAGAAAGATTTTTGGAGGAACCTTGTTGGCTTTTGTTTGATGAGAAAGCTCTTATTTTAGAGGTGTGATAAATTCTTTTTTTAGTACAACATTATGTGGGGATGGGGCTCGGATTGATTTGTGTTATAAATTCTGTTAATAGAAAATTAAATATATATTCAAGTATAGTTTAAAATTAGATTTTACGATTACACTCAGTCGTAACTTTTTAAAAGTATAAAGATAGGAAAAAAAACATTTTGAAAGTATGACTAAAGTGTAAAAAAAATAAAAATAACCAGTATTTCTCAAACATCGATAATTAAAGTGTCTTTTTTAAAATCTCATTGATCTACCAAATCCAAATTCCAGATACCAAAAACTTATCTTGTCATTTGGAAAGTACTAAAACGGACTTACTAAACTCAAAGTGTGGTACAAGGCAGACATATATGCAAGTGGTAAGTGGATGGTTATTTGAGAAAATACTCATTTTTTAGCAAATGAAAATGGTTAAAAATGCTACAAAATAGTATGCAAGGTCAATGTTAGTAATCCTCTCCTACGATTTGTTGTCGAGTACTATTACATAATAATTAATTTGGATGTAAGTTCAAATTTATAACTATGACATAGAGCAAATAAACGAATGTCTAATTGATGAAAGTTCTAGTAGCCTTTTTCTTTAGGACCACAAGTATGACTAGTAAAACCTCACATCAATATTAAAGATAAATAAGGAAGATCATATACATTTTATAAGAAAAAAATGTTGCATCTTTATGCTCAAAGGGTATTTATCAAAACTATATTTAAAAAATTTAATATCAAATATATGCAAACTATAAAGTGTAAAGTGAACGAGACACGACTACAAAAAATGGTCAATTATTCTTCCAGAAAAGGAATAACGCGTGACAAATTTGAATAATTTAACACACTATTATTGACGTAAAATCATCCCAAGTATTAAAAAGGCAAAAGAAACATGTATAGAGAAATACGTATAGATTATGAATGAAACTCCCTTAAGATTCGAGGAAGGGAAAGGGAAATTATGGCCAAAATTGGAATTGAACAGTAATGTGGAGCCAGGCAGGCAAGTTCACCAGTAAATAAGGAAGTGGAGCTGGTTGGATTATTCCTCCAGATTTGACCTTAAACTCAACATTTATTAAATTAATGGAGACGTTTGGTTTCCTCTTTTTCCACTTTTTCCCTTTTCCTTGGTCTAAGTTGCATTTATTATATTCCATATATATGTTTTCTCTTCTAAAATTGGCTTTACGAACAATACATTCCCACTCTAATTCAAACCTGGACATAGAGAGAACGAGTTCGGTGAACCTTTAAAAAAGAATTGAGAGATCAAGTTAATCTAGATGTTCGTCTCACGTACTAGAGTTTAAGTTAATCGGTTGACTATATTTTTAGATTGTTTTTAACTCTGCTTGATCTGAATTGATTTAATGAATTTTTACGTGGTTGGTTTGTAATGGGGGATTTATGTATCGATAGCGACGACATGAACAAGTAGTTTTGTTTTTTGTTGAAATATTCGGAGCATTTATTGTGTAGGAGAGAGAGAAGGAAGCAGATTCTGGGGGAGAGTTGTGTGTTTATGTTTGTTGGTGAATAATTTTTGGAGGGCATGAGAAAACAAAGTGCAATTTGGAAGTGTGTGTCACGAATAAAGTGTATATATTATAGATAATAACAACACAAATATGAAGTGGAAGATTGAACTATGACATGAGCTATTTAATATCATATTGTGGGAGATTCGAACTTGTGATCTCTTAGTCTCACATCAATTACTTGTTGCACAAACAGTTAGATTTGTTGATATAGTGCATTAATTTGATTATTTGCGTAATTTTTAATTTTTCTAAGAGTACATTGTATAATTTTTATCAGTGTCTATACTTGATTAGTACGAATAAAATATTTAATTGGTTCCTATCTCTACAACCGCTAATCAAACGCGGAGGGACTGGCAACAACGGCGTTAAGGATGAAAGAAATGGTCAAAATTAAAATAAAAATTGGGAAAATTATCATTACCCGCTGTTACGGTTGTAACGAACTTGGATTGCGTGGATCAATACGGTGACTCTGAAACCCTGACCGTCATTTCTCTGAGGTTGAGCAGACTGGAATCTCTCACTCTTTCACATTCTACTCCCAAATCTCCACTCTTTCTTCTTCTTCTTCTGTTGTTATTCTGATTCGATCTGTTGTTGTTCTGCACTCAATCACCATGGCGATGGATCCAAACCCCAAAAGTTTCCCCATCCTTTCCTACGTCATGGCCCGGATCCCCTCTCTCAGCCCTCGACCGCCGCCCGCCGGTCCTGGTTCATCCTCCGCCCACTTCGACATCGAACAGCCTGCTTCTCCGCCCTCCCGCCACGCCCCGCATCATCCCTCCGATCCTTCCTCATCCTCCTCTCGAATCGTTGATGACATGCCCCATCTATCCGACCCTAAGGTCTTGGCTTCTATGACCCGCGCTATATCTGATGTCGCTCAGACCCGATCCGTCCTCAAAACCCTCGGGGAAAGACCAGACCACGAGGCTGTCGATACTGCCAAGGCTAAGCTCGCTGAAATAGAAACCAATTTGTCCGCCAAGCTCCAGGAAATCGTGCTTTCGTCTAGGCCGGCGGATGTGGAGTTGCTCGAGTGGAGGGCTCACCTCGCTGAGAAAGAGAACGAGTGCCGGCAGTCGGCGGATAAAGAGAAGCAGGTGTACAAGGCAATCATGCAGCTGGATGAGATGCACGAGGCCTATGAGAAGATGTTGAAGGAAGCAGAGGAGAGGTTGGTGAAGATTTACGAATCGGCGGCTAGAGGATTGCAGGAGGAAGACTACTTGGATCCAGTAAGCGAGGAGGCCAATGAGGAGGTTGCGAGGATTCTTCAGGAAGCGAACGAGAAGGAGCTGGAACGCATTAGTCTCTCTGGCCGACGCTTGCGGTTCTTTCCTGAAGAATTTGGACGCGTTCGAGGATTGGTCGTGCTTGATATCTCCAGCAATCAACTAAAGGTCAGCTTACGTTTTATCCTAGGTTTGTGATGTAAATACCTTCTTCGAATAGGTAGTAGAATCAAAATTGCTGCACTCCCACAGATTATACAGTGACCAGCTCCCTGTTTCTAGTGATCGATAAGTAGTTCCTGCTATTGAAATGAACTATTTCTTTATGAAATTAAGTTGGATTGAAGGCTTCATTAGTTTCATATGAGTACAGGGGCTCTTAGTAGTATGTCTAGCGATTAAACTTTTGTTAGAGACGCACGTTTGGTTATCTAATGGCTCATCATTAGGACTCTTTGAGAAGTCTTAATTCACTCCTATTTCAGTGCTGGCTTTTAGTTCCTCAGTTTTGTTTGTTCAAATGTATGGTTTGTGGATAGCATTCGTTTTCAATGGATGGGACTTTTCCGTTGAATTTTTGCTGATTGTAAATTTTCTTTTACTGTCATCTTAAAGATGGGGACCTTTAAATCTTAGTGCAATGGTGTTGTTAGAAGGACATTAAAACCATCTTGGTGTAGCCTAGTGGTCAACAAGGGCCAATATAAATGACAAAGGGTTTAAAAGGAATGGGTTCAAACCATGGTGGTTACCTACCTAGGATTTAATATCCTATGAGTTACCCGAGCAACCAAATGTAGTAGGATCATGTGGTTTTCCGTGAGATTAGTCGACGTGCACGTATGCTGGCATGGACACTCACCGATATTAAAAAAAAAAAAGAAGGGCATTAAATGAAAATTTACCTTAGGATGTAAAGGATCAAGATTTTCTTTCCTCCTTCTCATAGTCCTTTAATTATAGGGTATTTTGAGCAAAATTTTGTAAAAAAAATGGAGACCGGATAGTGCCGGAATCTGCACTGCCCTAGAATATGGGTTTAAGGCAAGATGAATCGGATCTAATGGACAATGGTAAGTAAGAACTAAGGTTTTTTGTTGAAAAATCATGCTCAAGAAGCTTACTGGATTTTTGACAAATTTCTTTGCTGGAAGTTGCTGAAATAAGGCTGGAAAATGGGAAGAAATCCAAACACTGTGGTTGCTTATTTCGGGACAGAAAAAAGATGAACTATTTCTTTGTTTTATTATTCATCGTTGTCATCTCATGATGGAGATCTGAAATATGTGAAGGGAGTGTATTTGAATTATTGGTTTGCTTCTTAAATTTATGGTTTGGGCTATTTTTGCTTTGGAATATTACTCTTCTCAACTGTTCTTGTTATGATTAGCATGTGGTCTTGTCACATATCTGTCGTTATTGGACTTGGATATTACAGTTGGCTTAATCGAAAATTTAAGACGACCGAATATTTACTGGTATGATTTGTCACTTTAATTATTTTTGATATATTTCACTTTCATTTACAACTTCAGGTCATCCCGGACTCAATATCTGGCTTAGAAAATCTTGAGGAGCTGAATGCCTCATCCAATCTTCTTGAGTCATTGCCCGACTCGATTGGCTTATTGCAAAATCTGAAACTCCTGAATGTCTCTGCGAACAAGTTGCATTCCCTTCCTGACACAATATGCAATTGCAGGTACAAGATTTTACTAATTCATGAAAATACCATATTCCTAGCATTTTCTTCACGACTATCCAGTATCGACAGTCTCACATGAATTTATTCAGAGATATTTTAACATGCATTAATGGAGGATCTTGTGCTGCGAATTTGAGGACTTGTATTTTTTGTGTCTTAAATGCGTAGGTCTTTGGTGGAGTTAGATGTAAGCTTCAACAGTCTAACGTACTTGCCAACAAATATTGGCCTTGAACTGGTGAATTTGCAGAAGCTTGCAATCCAATTAAACAAGATACGGTCACTTCCCACTTCTGTTTGTGGTATGAGTTCTTTGCGTTACCTGGATGCTCATTTCAACGAGCTTCATGGCCTTCCTCAGGCAATTGGGAAATTGACACAACTTGAGTTTCTCAACCTAGCCAGTAATTTTACTGACCTTACTGAACTTCCTAATACCTTTGGTGACTTAACCAGCCTTAGGGAACTCGATCTTAGCAATAACCAGATTCATGCTCTACCTGATACATTTGGCCATCTCGAGAATTTAAAGAAACTAAACTTGGAGCAAAATCCTCTTATAATTCCGCCAACGGAAGTCGTAAACAAAGGACCAGATGCTGTGAGGGCATTCATGTCCAAGAGGTGGTTTGAAATCCTCGAGGAGGAAGATAGAAAGAGAACTCTTGAAATGGAAGAACAACAGGGACAGACTGGATGGCTGACACGAAGCACCTCTTGGTTGAAGACTTACGTTTCTGGGGTTACAGAGACCGTGTCTGGTTTGGTTACTTCTCCAAGAAGTCCAAGAGACCCTTGTCTTGATCAGCAGCTATAATCTGATGCAGCTCTCTCACCAATTTTTGTTGCTTCCTTCCCCCACGCTGATTTTGGGTCCTTGATGAGATATGCTTCGATCAGGTTCACTGGATTCTTTGTAGTGTCATGAGAACTGATAAACAAACCGAAATTATAAGAAAATTTTGTTTTAAGTTTGAAGGTTGGATGAGTCTGCATTCTGCAATTGTGCGTTTATATACTGCAAGTCTACAGCAATTGAAGAGTCAGGGAAAATGGTTCTGTTGTTATACAATTTTCCCTGGGTCATATCTATGGGCCCAATTGTACATTTCTCCTTCTAATAAGCATGTTTTCCCATCTAGCTTGATCTGAATATCTCTTTCACTTTCACTCTAATATATACTTTTTTAGATCAAAATTTTCCTTTTTGACTAGATGAATGGTAAGAAAGAAACTTCTAATTTTTCTGCAGATTCTCTCTTTGAAGTAATATATGATCATTTTTTTCAGAAAGAACAGTTCACTTCTAAGCCAGCGTTTTCATCGTTGCTAGAGCGTGGGCCACTTTGATCTTTTTTTATATATAAATGATAGAGAAAGAAGAGGTAGAGAGTATTTATTTTGATATCTTTTGATAGATTCTTCATGTATTGTTTATTTGTAGTTTACTTAGTCGGGTATGAACAAAAATTGACTTTTGAGGAAAGTAGAGAAGAGATCACGTATCAGAATAAATTATAGGAAATACGCGGATTGAATCATTACCCAGATCTTGTTATCGATAGCAGATCGTACTCTGACCTTTCCAAAAAAAAAAAGAAAAAGTAATTTTAGAAGGATCAATAATGCAGAAAGAGAAAGAGGGGCTGGTAATGTGTCACTCACCAGTCACCATTATATTTTAGCTGCGTTGGTGTCCCCTGGGTCGAAGATTTTCACTCCTTTGGGTTCGTAGTAGCTGTAAAATGTGAGTGATTAGAAGCCTTTATTGAAGTGTGGTCACAATTGTCGGGTTGTGTTTAAAGGAGAGGTGTGGGCGTGGCTTCAATTCCAGTCTCTGTTTTGAAGTTGGGACTGCCAGCAAACCAAAAAATGCAGCCTTTTTTTCTTCTGGCTGTGCGTTGTCCCGCCAACAAGCTTCACCTAGCATGCAAATTACAAATTACAATACAACTGAGAATCTTTTCCCCCGAAAATTCTCTTTAAGGTCAAACAAATGAAGGGTTTGTCCCCACTCTACCCTTTGAAAAATAACTAATACAATACAGATGGTGAGATGGTTTACTGTTGATCACTAAACTAATCCTGTGAGTGATTCACGTGCCCAAATTTGTGTATTAATTGAAGCTGGCAGCCACCCTGATGGATTGTCAAGTGGCAACGCCTCGGGATTGACTTGTTATTTATCGTCTTGTGTTCTTTAGCAAATCTACACCGATCGCTGTTGCTGTTTCTGTTGCAGACAGAGAGAGAGCGATGGATGGAGATGGCGACGCCATGAAGTTTGAAAGTAATAATCTTGAAGCCCATTTGCTGTTGGGTGAGCCGCAGAGGGATTTGGAGGTGGTGGGGGAGGTGAAGAAGCAGCTCACTCTGGCGGGTCCTCTGGTTGTGGTGAGCTTTTTGCAGTATAGTTTGCAGCTGATCTCCATTATGTTCATTGGCCATCTTGGGGAGCTCCCCCTCTCTGGTGCTTCCATGGCATTATCTTTCGCTGGAGTCACTGGCTTCAGTCTCTTGGTAACTAACTATACATGCCATTGCAAACCAAAATGTTTATCTTAAGTACTTGATTTTCCAAGCTCTTAAATATTTTGGCAAATTTTGTAGCTAGGAATGGGGAGTGCATTGGAAACACTTTGTGGACAAGCATACGGAGCAAAACAATACCACATGCTTGGCATCCACATGCAGAGAGGCATGGTGGTTCTTTCCATTCTGTGCATCCCCATCGCCCTTCTGTGGGCCTCCATCCCCCAAATCTTCACCCTTCTGAAACAGGACCCTTTGATTTCAGAGCAGGCTGGGATCTACGCCCAGTGGCTGATCCCCAGCATCATCCCCTACGGCCTTCTCCAGTGCCAACTCCGATTCTTGCAGGCCCAACACTTAACTTCCCCACTGCTTGTGGCCACTGCAGCCTCCAGCTTGATCCATCTTGTGGTGTGTTGGGGCCTTGTTTTCGGATGTGGGTTTGGCATCAAGGGGGCTGCTTTCTCCACTGCTCTTACTTACTGGATCAATGTCCTCATTTTGGGGTCCTATATTAACTTCTCCCCCGAGTGTCACAAGACTTGGACTGGCTTCTCCAAAGATGGAATCAACAATCTTGTTGGCTTCTTGGGTTTGGCAGTTCCTTCTTCTTTGATGGTCTGGTCAGTAACTAACTGTGACCTTGTTTTGTTTTATAAATTGGAAAGAGAGGATTCAATGTTGTACTCGTACTGTACCAGCTTGGAGTTCTGGTCTTACGAGTTCTTGGTTCTGATGTCGGGGGTTCTTCCCAATCCACAGCTGGAAACGTCAATGATGTCAATCAGGTTTGAGTTTCCAACTTTCCATCTCCTCTCCCCGCTGCTTTCAATTCTTTTTAAAAGTTGGTTTTGGTTTTGGGTGCAGCATAAGCACAAGTTCATTGGTGTTCAGAATAGCCTACGGATTTGGAAGTGCAGTGAGGTAAGAGTTAAGAGAGTTGTGTGAATTGAGAGTTGAAATTAATGTGTGGTCATGGTGTGTTTTAAGGGATTTGTTGGTAGCAGTACTCGAGTGTCGAATGAACTGGGGGCGGGGAAGGCGAAGGCAGCGGCGATGGCAGTGAGGGTGGTGGTGGTGTTGGGAGTGGCCGAGGGGATTGCATTAGGGGTTTTGTTAATTTCACTAAGAAACATATGGGGTTATCTCTTCACAAACGAACAGGAAGTGATCTCATATTTGAGTCTCATAATGCCAGTTCTCGCCGTTTCCAACTTCATGGACGCAGTCCAAGGCGTCCTTTCGGGTAGTTCTTCGATTATGACTGTCACTCTCGTAATCGAAAGAAATTTAAGTTTGATTTGATTTGATTTGATTTGCAGGGACTGCAAGAGGATGTGGATGGCAGAAGATAGGGGCATGGGTGAATCTTGGAGCCTATTACCTTGTTGGGTTGCCTTGTGCTATAATCTTCACTTTTGTCTTCCATTTTGGAGGGAAGGTACTTGATACAAAAATACTGGCCACATTAACAGCTTATTATTTTGTTTTTGCATTTCCCTTAATCATCCAGGGTGTTATTAGTCAGTATCAAGATGCAAGTATTTTTGTTGTACCATTCATATTTTCGACTTCTAAATTCGAAAATAAGACATCCAGATAACCTTAGGATTTTACTTAGATTTTATTAGAAGATAATCTATTGGCCTTGGATTGGAAGGAAAATACTAAGCTACTGGTAAATTTTGGAAGTGAAATTTTGAGCATCAACAAATTAAACAATTTATTAGCCTCCACTCACTCCCAACTACCCTCCATTTGTGAATAAAGAAAATTTCACATCAATTATCACTTTTTCTTTCTTTAAAAAATTAATATCAGATGACAAATTAATATAATAATGGACACGAAAGAGTGAATTAATGGAATAAAAAAAATAGGAACGACCATCAAAATTGCATGTTGTGAACTTTTCACAAAAAGCCACTTTAATTAATAATTAATTACCCAACCTACTTTGATTTTGATTCACAAAATTTTGTGTTAGGAATAATAAGAAAGTGAATTTGCAGGGGCTATGGATGGGAATAACATGTGGAAGTTGTTTACAGTCCGTGCTCCTCCTGTTCATTACCTTCCGCACAAACTGGGACGACCAGGTAATTTATATTTCCCGACTTCCTATTCTACCCTTTTCCTTATTTTTCTCCATTTTATTCATAGTTTAATTTTCTTCTTTTATCAGGCAAGGAAAGCGAAGGAACGAATGATGTATGCCTATGCTCCAACCCTTTTACAATAAATAAATAAATAAATTAATTAATTAATTAAACAAATCCTTGCAACCCCGTTTGATTTTTAAATTAAATGGTGGATGGACCAATGCTATATTAATTATTATCGCATATCTTGAGCAGTTGCATTTTAATTATCATCTAGTCCCGTTTTGCCCTCATAATGTATGCTTATTTTGCCTTCTACAAATGGCTAATTTAAAATATTATAATCTATTAAGTTAAAAGTTAAAAGTTATGAGTCAGAAAATTCTCAGCAAAAAGAAGAAGAATTAAAATTATATGGGCACATGCGGAAGGTTGGAAGTTAGTGTGTAATTGGCAGTTGACTTCTTTTAATGAAATGTCATTAATTATCAACTCCCAACTCTTTATTATTCGTTCAACCAAAAATAATAATAGTTAACTTTTATTTCTCTTGCAAAATCATTCATTTCATTTATTAAAACTAAAACCAACCCAATCTTACAATTCTAAGAGGATAAAATAAGTTTGATCTTTAAAATTGTATAATTCTACTTCAAACAAATTTCAGAGAAAAATATTCTATTGGTATTTGATTTGAGTTTTCAGCTAATTGTTATGAGTTTAGGGTCATAAATATCCGTCCAAATATCGACAAAATGTCATTATTATGTACATAACATTAATGTTAATTGAAATACTTTTTATGATTTTTTAAATTTTCTAACTTTTACAGAAGTATCTATTCTATCCATATTTCCATGAAATTTAGACAACAATTACCTTTAAAATTTTTGGTTTATTTTAGTGCTTCAAACAAACCTTGGGACAAAACGATACTTTTTTAAAAAAGTCAGTGTATTCAATCTCTATAATATGGACTTTATATGTTATGTCAAATAAATCTCCAACATTATTCGCATGCATTTATATGGTATGCCTGGTATGGCGACTATATAATTTAAGGTTCGAATCTCCGAGCATATTTTATTAGTCAAACTTATTAAACTACATGACTATAGTTGATTTTAGATAAGTTAATGATAAATAGCTTGAAAAATGCATGGCCTATTAGATAGAAAGATTTGTTATAACTTTGAAAAAAATTTAGAGGTCTAAACCGGTAATTTTTTTTTTTAATTTAACAAAGAGAATATTTTTCATATAGAATACTAAAATTTAAGCAAGGATTTCAAAATTTTGGTCCCAATATAATATGAAATATGACAGTTGAAGAAGAGTAATAGAATTATTTGATCCCATAGGCCAAAAATCATAATGATGTTGAGCAGCTTCCCATGTGCCGCACATGGCTGCCAATTCCCTTCTCAAACACCAATCTTTAAACAAAATTGAAATAATTTTAGCAATCAAATCAAATTAATAAAATGGGAAAGTTGCATAAAAATCACATACTCTGACTCTGATTCTTCTTTCTCAAGTAATTCAGCAGAAGAATGTCGAGACCCACGACGGCGACGTTTTGTTTGTCGGCGATTTTGCTCTTGCTTTTTTCAGGTCTCTGTATCGTCATTTTCCGATGTGATTTGATGGGGCGATGGGTTCCCATTGTCGGCTTTTTGGTGCTCGCCGGAGCCGCACTGGTGGCCGCCAGAGCCACCGTCCTCGCCTGGATCACTGTGTTGGTGCTTTTAGTATTCGCCGGAAACCGGCGCCGGGTTCTCGTCAAACAGGGGAGAGAGATCACCGCCGACGTCGCCAGCTACTTGGCCGGCGTCGTTGTCAAAGAAAGAGGCCTCGCCGCCGTCGCCTTCGCCGCCCTCTGCAGCTTCGTCGCCGTCGTTCGCTCGACGGAGACCGATCAACTTCCTGTTTTCGGTTAATCTCATAAATCACTCCGAAGCTCATCGGAATTTTTTCCCCCACGAAATTGGCTGAAAAAATCTGTTTTTTTTTTTGGTTAAAAAGAAATGTCAATTACTTTGTTTGTGTAAAATTATTAACACGTTATTTATATTTAGGTTAAACTCTAAATTTAGTCCATAAATTTATTTAGTTCGTTGTTTACATTCTCCAACTTTTAATCCGATTCTAATTTCTATTGTTAGTATTTTTTTTGAGAAAAAAAAAATACTAACAATAGAAATTAAAATCGGATTAAAAGTCTATTGTTAGTATTATTGCTTAATTAATGTTGATGGAAGCTTATTAATTAGATTAATAGGCGATGATTCATTTTCAAATCAAATATTCCAAAAAAATATATATATTCTACTATCATTTCCATCCTATCAATTATTAAATAACAACAAAAATTAATATTTATTTTAAAAAAATCACTTATTTTTTAATATAGCATAGACGTAACTTTTTTCAATATACTTTACATTACATTTAAGTTAAGTTAGATCTAGATTGAATTAGTCTAGTTAGGTAAAATTTTAAACCTTATATTTAAATTAGATCTTGATTGGATTAGTCTAGTTAGGTAAAATTTTAAACTTTATGCTATCTTTCGAAATAAATATTTATTTTATACTATTTATAGAATTACCTCTTTGTTTTATCATGTTATGTTATCTAATTTTGTACTACATCATAATAATATCAATGATAAGTCTAATCAATATATCATAGCAACATTTAATGGTTAAAGCTAATGACGTATGTTTATTTTTATATCCGTGATAATCACATAAGTTGATGAGAACGATAATTAAAATTTAGATACGTAATGAGAGATAGACAAAGACGTAATTGGAATACTAATAAAGTTATTTAAATTATTTTTTAGGTTTAATAACATGAAGCAAATATGTGGATGAGATTCTGTTTAATTTTAATTTTTCTATGTGAGGAGTGTTGGTGAATGGACCACAGGCTTGATAACACATTTCCAACAAAAAGGAAGTCGCTGTTGTGAGAAATGATTGGATGTGTTTTTTTTTCATATGACCATTTCAATGTTATTTTCCAAAAAAAAAAAAAAAATTTTCTTTTTACTGCTTTCCTTATTGCAAATTTCAACGTTTGGTTCAAACTTCAAATTTTCGATTTAAAAATTAATTTATTCCTAAAAATGTTATATGTACTGCAATATTGGAAAATTTATCTTTTTCATTATTTGTTGCAATTTTATGCCATGCCAATTGAAGTGATTTTTTTTTTATTTTTACTTTAGCCAAACTTAAAAAATAAAAACAAAGTTTTAAAAGACTAGTTTGTTAGTTTTTTTTTTTAATTTTGAGTTAGATACTTTAAAACATTTTAAAAAATAGATAACAAAGTAAGTAATACAGAGTGAGAATGATATTTATAAACTAGAGTAGAAAAAGTATAAAAAGAGTTATCGATCTGGTTTTAATTTTGTTTTCGACAATTATGATTATAAATGGAAGGAAAAATATCTGAATTAAAATCTATAAAAGAAATATAGTAATACCATCATGAATACAATACAAAGAACGATTCAACGAGGTAGTCAACATGAGCTAGACAGCGGAAGCACTCATCTAAAAGCCTATAATCTTTTTATAGAAATGCATTTAAATTTTGAAAATTTTCAAATACCATGAAGATTGGATTTTTTGTGTTACAGAATCGTTAAAAAAAAAAAAAGAAGGTTGAGTTGTACGATGTAAAACAAGGTCTAAAAATAGCAAAGTGTGAATGAGTGGCGATAACAACAAATAATAAATAGTTGGTTTAACCAACAGGACCCACTTGATTGGGCATCCCATATTCCTAATGCAGTCTTCTTCTCGTGAATTTACAAGAATCAGACCCTCCTAAACAAAAAAAAAAGTCGATATTTTTATGATATTTGGACCAATTTGGACTGAAACAGCCAGATTTGAAAAGGAAATAAATAGTTTGACTCAAAACTCGAGGGATCCAATCGAAATGAGAAAAGGGTCAACATAATCTCGAGGATAAGATGAATTAGATGTGTTAAAATGATGGGTTTGAAATGGGGAATTGGCAAATGATTAATTTTGCAATCCCCCATAAAAGTTTTGCCTTTAGTTTTAAGGCTTTAATTGAAGTGAAACACACGAACGGGGAAGAGGTAGTCCAGGGCCAGGCAATTCCCTATGCAGTGGCTTTGTCTCCACGTTCAAAAGATCAGTTTCCATGTGCTCTTCATTAGTTTACGGCTCCCACACTCTTTATTACTCTTTTTTTTTTCTCTAAATTTATTTCCCTTTTCATAAACCCCTCTTTCTCTCTCTCTCTCTCGCTCTCCAGTACCCATTTCATCTGATTGTGTCTGCAGATCGAGGGTTATGTGTTCACCGCGATTAAATATACTCAAAAACCTATCAGCCCAATTTCAGTTTGAGCTCCATTATGGGGCATAAAATTAATGCTCTCTGATTCTCAACTTTCGGGGGCTTTCCGATTGGTTCTCCCCTTCTACTTGCTTCCCTTTTTGGGGATTTTTCTCCTTTTTTCCCCATGATTTTTTAAGCAATCCCTCTGCGGCTTTGTGGGTGTTGAAGAATATGAGGAACTTCTCCCTTTTCCCTCCTCCACGACACATCGGTCATCCAACTTTTCGATTGATTTCTGGCCCTGTTTTTGAGGTGTTCTTGTAGGCAGCACAAAGTACAATCGAAGCTCTCAATCATGTATTCTATTATTTCCCCTTTTCATTTGAGCTTATCCACTTGAAGATTACTGAACATTTTGATTCATTCCCTCTCTCTTTTAGTGATAATGCATACTGAATTGCTAGACTTCTGTGATTGACTTCTGTAGAAACATGGAAGCTGGGAGTAGATTTTACTCTGCTACGGATGAGTTCAGATTGGAAGCGAAATGGCTGATTGATCCCAAACATCTCTTCGTCGGACCTAGAATTGGAGAGGGAGCTCATGCCAAAGTTTACGAGGGCAAGTATGAACTCTTTGGAGATTTTTACTGGTTTCTGGGGTTTTGATTTTCTCCCAATTTTGCTTTGATGATTCTTCCAATTTGGTTGGCAACTCTAATATCTCGAGATCTAGAAATTCTTTTCGTATTTAATCAGAATTTCTACATGGGTTCTGCATTTTCATAAACTGAATGAGTTATTTCTAGCTGTTGATTCAGTTGTCCTTTGTATTTGGAATCCCAGAGTTCTGTGGGGATCAAAGTATAGCCTCGCAGTTTGCTATGTTTAACTGATGAATCACCAGTTTTTGTTCTCAATGTGCTTCAATTTTGTTTGCAGTGTGCTATGTTTACTAGTTTTATCTTGCGCTTACGCTTTATTTCACTGATTCCATTCAGATATAAGAACCAGACTGTGGCTATCAAAATTGTTCATAAAGGGGAAACAACTGACGAGATTGCAAAGAAAGAAGCTCGGTTTGCTCGAGAGGTTGCAATGTTGTCTAAAGTTCAACATAAAAATCTTGTCAAGGTTTGGTTCCATCCCAATCTACTGAGATTTTGTTTCGATCCTACATCTTCTGTATTATTTTACTTACAAATTATGTTCATTAACAATGTTTTTGAAGTATGCCATGAATGATTTAAGATTCATAATGTTGGATCCTTGTGTATCAACAGTTCATTGGTGCCTGCAAGGAGCCTGTAATGGTGATAGTAACCGAGCTTTTATTAGGAGGGACCTTACGAAAGTACCTGCTGAATATGCGTCCACGGTGCTTGGACACACACGTGGCAGTTGGTTTTGCACTCGACATTGCTCGTGCTATGGAATGCCTGCACTCTCATGGGATCATTCACCGCGATCTGAAACCTGGTACACTTTTTCCATCCACCAGATTATTCCTGCCGTTCCAAATGCTCTGTTACCAAACGTTTTCAAGTAATTATTGCATTTGTAATAATTTTGGTAGAACTTAAAATCACTGTAGAGTGCATCGCCGTTGGTTACTTTCTTAATTTCAAGATAAAGATCAAGTAACTTTTAGGCAGATGTTGGAGCTTAGTAAAGCATTTGTACATTCAAAATATCGACTTGGTCAGTTTCAATCATGGTGGTCGGTTTTTTAATTTTAAGTTTCACCCCTAGGCCGATGCCCTTCGCCTACTTGCTTGCTTGAATTCATTGCTTTCCTTACCAAGAACTTGACCTTACAAGGATATGATGTTTTCTCGAGTTCTACCTCCGCGTCCTTAGGAGACCGAGAACTCGAGGTAATTGGCTAGTTTGTCCATCACTTGCTTTTAGTCGCCAAACCACTTCAATAAGTGACGTGAAAAGATTTTTGGCATGAAAGGCATGCTCAAGGCCTCCATCTTCTTCTATCATCATCCAAGGATGATTAATGTGTTGAGCCTGAAATCTGTTTTAATGTTTTGGCAGAGAACCTATTGTTGACTGCAGATCACAAAACAGTAAAATTAGCTGATTTTGGTTTGGCAAGAGAAGAGTCATTGACGGAGATGATGACTGCAGAGACGGGGACGTACCGTTGGATGGCTCCAGAGGTGCTTGTTTTAGGAAATATGGTTTGGTTGTATGCATTCTGGTTGCTACTTGAGAAGAATGTTTCAAAGTAGCTTAATTGCATATTGTTATATGATGTCAGTTGTACAGCACCGTGACACTGAGGCAGGGGGAGAAGAAACATTACAACCATAAAGTGGATGCCTATAGCTTTGCCATTGTGTTATGGGAACTGCTACATAACAAGTTGCCATTTGAAGGCATGTCTAATCTTCAGGCAGCATATGCAGCTGCTTTTAAGGTAACCAATTCCTTCTTATGAACATCTATTTGCCACCATGTCGTCACTCTGATCGATGGATTTTCGGTCGTTTCAGAATGTGAGGCCTAGCGCGGAGAATCTCCCGGAGGAACTAGCCGATGTTCTAACATCGTGCTGGCAGGAGGATGCAAATGCTCGTCCAAATTTCACCCAAATTATCCACATGTTACTCAATTACCTTTACACCATATCACCCCCCGAGCCCGTGATTCCTTACCGAGTTTTCACTTCTGAGAATGCGGTGTTTCCTCCCGAGTCTCCTGGAACAAGCTCGCTGATGGCAGTCCGTGATGATTCAGGGGACACCCCAAAGGCAAAAATGGAAAATAAGCCCAGAGGTTGTTTCTTCTGCTCCAATGACTGTTACTAAGCTCTAGAATGGTGGAAGAAAAAGCAACAGAAGCTAAGTGCAGATTAGGCAGAGGAATAACCTGTTTTGTATCTAACTAATTATGCTTCCCCACCATGTATCAATGTGTAGGTGGTTTTACTTTTAGTTATGTTATTTAGTAACACAGCCTAAGCCTTACATCATATCATGGTACAAATAGAATGGAAGATCATCCTCATGCTTGGATGTAATATTTTGAAGATTCCACTTCAAATCATTGCTACCAGTAAAGGATCAATAAATTCCACATGCTGAATTAATGCTGCTCCATTATCTACATATATAATATGTAAGATTTTTCTTTTCTTTTCTCCCTTTTATTTATACTTTCAATATCCATGATCTAATAAGATATGTGTAAGATTGCAGATATATAAACAAATTAGTAGCCTATTATTGGGCTCAGTAAACATCAACATGATAGTCCCTATTGTTGTTCTTGTGCAGATTATTCATCGAAACAACAATCACAAGTGATCAGAAGAGACTTGCCTCCAAATTCTCTCAAACAACAAACCATCGGTCTCACCAATAGTCATTGCAGGAGCAAAGACCGTCTTTGAAATGATGAAAACGATTCCTATCCCTAACAATGATCGTTCTATCAAAGACCCGCGATATAACTTTTGTTGCATTGTGACAGTCCCTGCACATCCTTAAATTCTTTGAAATTCTAATGATGGTTCGAGGAGGTGTTCGAATAAGACCATAAGCAATGGCTAGCTTTTCACTATGATGCGACACTGAAGTTTCCTTACTGTCTTCCTCAGCCTCTAGTCTAGCATCCTCTATGTTGGGCACGTATCCAAGTAATCTGATCCGTTTCATCATTTCGTCTAATGCATTGTGTATTTCCTTAGAGTGAGTATGCTGTCCATCTTCAGAAAAAAACTCATGTACTACACCATCAAGCTCAATCAAACTACAACCTGGTGTCTTCTTAATCTCCTTCTCTTTTATCAGAGATCTTACCCTCAGTGCATCCTCAACCCTACCAGCAAAAGCATAAGTATTTGATAAAAGAATGTAATCTCCACTATGAGCAGGCTCCAATTGAGTTATGTGTTCCAATGATTTTTCTGCCATTTCTACATTTTTATGAGCTCTGCAGGAAGCCAAAAGTGTCCTCCAGACAACAGCATTGGGTGGGATGGGCATGTTATCTATGAACTGATAGGCTTCTTCAAGTAACCCAGCTCGCCCAAGAATATCAACCATGCAACCGTAATGCTCAATCCTTGGCTCAATATCAAAATCTCTTCCCATGCTATTGAAAAGATGACGACCCTGATCGACCAGACAAGCATGGCTACAAGCAGAAAGAACACCAATGAAAGTTACATCATTTGGCTTTACATTGTTCTCTCGCATCAAAGAGAAGAAGTCGAGAGCCAGTTTCCCCTCTCCATTATTGGCAAGGCCCTGAATTAATGCTGTCCATGTAAACACATTTCTGATAGGCATTTCCCTGAAAACTTCAACTGAGCTATCTGTATACCCGCATTTAGCATAGAAATCTATCAGCTGAGTTCCAAGAGTAACAGTGAGCTTCATCTTCTTCTTTTTGATGTAGAAATGAACCCACTTACCGGTTTCGTATGCTCCCAGCATGGCGCATGAATAAAGTACACTGACCATTGTTACCTCGTTCGGATCCACTTTTGCCTTCTGCATCTCATGGAACAGATTAAGAGCTTCTTTACAGCGGTCGGCTTGAGCATAGCCTGATATCATTGCACTCCATGCAACGACATCTCTTTTATGCATTTTGTCGAACAACTTCCAAGCAGTATCAACTCGACCACATTTAGCATACATATCAATCAGCGAAGTTGTTAAACTACGGTTTCCTGTTAGCCCTTTTGACACTATATACTCACCAATCAACTCACCCAATTCTAGGTCAGCCAATCTTCCACAAGCCATCAGCACGCTGATCATTGTAACATCATCAAATTCAATATGCAACTCCAGCATTCTTTTAAAAAGTTTCACGACCTCATGCCAAATCCCATTCTTCGTATAACCAGACAACATTGAATTCCACGCAATTACGCCTCGTTCAGACATTCCATCAAACACCCGACGTGCAATCCCAACCTCCCCGCAATTCGCGTACATATGGATCAAGGTGTTCTCCACAAACTCATTTGGCTTGCGCCCAGATTTCAAAATCTGCGCGTGGACCTGTTCGCCTTCCCTCAGCGCTCTCATTCTGGAGCATGCCTTCAAGACACAAGAGAAAGTGAATCCGTCGTGTTCTACCGAGTTTTCATGCATTTTCTTGAACAGAAGGAAGGCATTATGAGGCGATTGCTTGAAGGAAAGGCCCCTGATCATAACATTGTAAGCCGACGATTCGGGTCTGTCGATATGATTGAAAATCGAAAGGGCGTAATCTATGGTGTTGGGAAGGAGTAAAGCCGCGGACTCGAGAACCGCTTCCGTAATGGTGGGGTCGAGAAGACGGCGAGTTTTGACGAGGTGCGCGTGGACTTGGTGGAGATCTTTGGGAGTTTTGCATTGCTGTAGAATCAAAGTTTTGGGATTTTCTGGGAATTGGGAGATATGGGTTATGGTAGTTACAGAGTTCGCCGGAAAGCAAGCCAGTGCCGACGCCATTGGAGTGGAGACTGGAGCTTGGAAGATCCTAAATTTGATAATATACGAATAGTTCGTTTCAAGCCAGTGTAAATACTACTCCCTATCCTATTTTGAAAATGCTTCTGTTCATAAACAGAAAGAAAGAAAGAAAATGGTCATGAATAAGTGGCAAACCTTAGCCAAAGGAGAGAAAATCCTCCTATTCATAAGCATAGCTAAATTTATGATGTGTTTTCAGATCTACATTTACTCGATCAAAAATCACGACCCAACTTCCAACTTTTGGAATCATGACACACAACACCAAAGGCCTCACATTTCTTATAATTTTTTGATACAATTGTGCAATTTAATGCTTAATATAAGCGTCAGGAATTGTGGATACAAGCAGTACAAATTCAAATGGGAGCTCCAGCTTTTTGTATCCAGCTTACGATATTATGAGTCCTGTAATGATTTGATTGTACAGTGATTGCTAAACCCTCTCAAGCTAACAAACTATTTGAAATGTTTGCAGACTGAAGTTTAGATGAATCGAAAGCGGTTCAGTAAGTTTTCATGGCACAACAAGTTCATTTGCTACGCAAGTTCTCTGCATCAAATATGAATCTGAAAGAAGATGATGGCAAATGGCAACACAAATGGAGAATGTAAACACAAGTACAGACTCCGAAGGAAGATGGAAGGAAGAATGAAGACCAGACTGGCTATTCGTTGTTGTGCAAAATTAGATACTTTAACAGGCAGATAATTATGATGAGTGTATTTGCCAATGAATCGAACTGATTTGAAGAATCAAAAGGGTGAAGGCCATGGCATGAGGAAACCTCTTTTCCTCCACAACAACTACAGGGCCACTGGTTTTTCACAAATCAAAGCAGCCATATCAGAGAATTCAGAAAATGCATGGCCTAATTGAATCCCATGACTTAAACAACTAGATCCACAGCCATAAGAAACTAAATCTGATGTGTTGTTAATCTTTTGTACTATGTGATGATTAAGTTCCAACTTCCAATGGTTTGGAGGAAGATTTAGTAGCATCAGTGCTTTTGCTTTCTGCAGATCCAAAGAGCTTACAGACTTCACTATGCTTTCTGATGTGATGTGGGCATTTGAAGAGAAGATCTTTGGCCTCAGAACATCTGCCTTCATTGAAAAACGAATTAAAAACATGAAGGTAGGCAGACACGGAAGGATATTCTTTTGAGCTCAGAACCTTCAAAAAGTCAGCAGCGTCCTCCACTGTACCAAACTTGGAGATATATAGAACAAATGGTTCCGAAAAAGGCGGGTAGTTTTGTTTCTTCATTAAACGAAGGAGGGTAATTGCTTCCTCAAGCTTCCTTACTTCTAGAAGCTTTTCGATTAGCTGTTTGTATGTCGCCTGCCATGGCCTCAAATGAGCCTTATTCACCAACTCAATCAGCAACTGGTACGCACCATCTAGCTTTCTCTGGCCAAGGAAACCATCAATCAAGACATCCAAAAGATCGGCGTCTGGATCGCAGTTCCTCTCTATCATCTTTGCAAAACAAACTAATGCCTTATCAACTTCATTGGTAGTACAGTGTCCTTGAATTAAAATGGTCCAAGTCTTGATATCAGGAATGCATCCTTCTGCTTCCATTTCATCCAGCAGCTTACAGGCTTCCTCAAGTCTCCTAGCCTTGCAAAGTCCAAATACCAGTTGGCTGTATGTAACATTGTCAGGCTCATACCCTGCATTTCTCATCGACTTCACAATATTCTCCGCTTCATCGAACTTTCCTGCACTTGTCAACGACCTATGGATTCCATCGTAAATGGCTTTGGAGAGACTGTACCCTGTTGCCTCATATTTCTTGGCCACTCTAAATACCAAGCTCAAATCTGGATTATCACTGGCAGATATACTCCGCAAAAGCACGCTGCAATCCTGCAATGAGGGTCGGTATGGCCCATCCATCATAAGCTCATAAAGCTTGACAGCTTCACCCATCATCTTGCTCCTCTGAAACTGCCTCGATATCTTTATGTAAGTGTCAATATCGATCTCGTGACCAGCATTCTTCATTTCGTCAACCACACCCCAAAATGCCTCGATCGAGTCATCCCGTCCAAGAACCCTGGCAATTGCATTGTATGTAACTGTGTTGTGATCAAAATCCAGTCTACAACCAACCCAATGGAAAAAGCTCAAGGCTTTCAGTGGAAAATTTCGAAGTTCCTTCAACGCTCTAATTACAAAGTTATCCGATAATACAATGCCAAGCCCTTCAAGGTTTTCAGCAACATCGCTACTCCACTCTGACCCTAAAACAATGTTAACCACCTTCTGCACCACACTATCCATGGCATTTTCTTGCAGCATCCGATTGTAAAAATGGGTCAAAGCCGTGGCATCTGCGGCCTTCTTTGCCCTCCTTAAGATTCCCAACATGGTCAAATATGTTTCCTCATCCAGGTAAAATCCCCGTTCTTTCATTACCCTTAATGTGATCCAAAACTGCTTCATCGACTCATTTTGAACAAAAATCCTAAGCAAAATGCTATAAATCGAAGAACTTTGGGTAAACCCATTTTTCCCGCAGGCCCAATTGAAGAAACCCGAGGCTTTTTGGGGTTCTTTATCTAGTCTTTTCAAAACATAGACGACAGTTTCGTGTGTCAGGGTAGGGTTCAAAGTCTCTAATTCGTTTTCTAAATCTTGTGACCAATCGTTGGCCAAAACAAACTGGAGAAGCGAATGGGGCTTGGACGAGAAAAACAGCAATGGATGAGTACTTTTGAAATCGAGAAAATGGGATCGATGAGAAACAGAAGTGGGTGAAAATCGAGTCACCTGGGGATATAGCGACCGAGTCGATGAAATCTGAGCTGACAGGAACGAGTTTGCTAGTCTGAGAGACGTCAGAATCGCGGTTCTTCTCGTCATGTTGCCTCAGGGAAACGCCACACGACGTTGAAGAAGAAAGAAAATAACTCCGAGCATAGGTTTTTAGAGGGTTTAAGCCTTATGCGGAAGGGCTGGCGGGTCGGGTCGGGTTTCACAATTTCATTTGGTAAAGATTTTCATTTTAATTTTATGTGCACATAGTCCTAGGACCTTCTCATTTCCATAGGATGTCGATTCATTCATCTAGCTACCTTTATTGATGTAGAATGATCAATCCACCTGATAAAAAGGAGTGAGATATGGGAACGAAAATCAGTTTGACGCTCAAGTCAGTGATAATACTAGATATAGTTTGAAGATGAGCTAATTCTAATATCAGAAATGATATCTGTATTTATAAGCAGAATCTAGTGAATTTAATATCTCGATACATTTGACAAAATTACCATATTACAAATTACATATGGTTACAGACTCAGATACCTTAACTCGAACCTCTAGAGTTCTTTTAAAGTTATTAGTGACCGAACTATTTTCTTTTACTCGTATTGAACTTATAGTTCAGTCACTGTTGGTCTTCAAGGTATTATCTATAGATTACGTGAGAAGACCTGTTATTCTTCTTTCACGTGGTTGGCCATATTTTATCCGGCCATATTTTATCCTCCAACAATCTCTATGCTAGATAACACAAAGCTACCCACTCTTCTAACTTATCATGAGCAAATGTTGAACTTTTGGCTTGTGAGATTGAAGACTAACCCATTGGGTATAATAGAAGACTTTGTGCCAAACTTAAAAGTCTATAGCATGTTATTAGATAATTGTTATTTAGTTTCACACGATTTGATAAATAATAAATAGAAAAAAAAAGTTAAAGATATTATTTTGTTCTCTATACTTTTAATTTTAGTTTATTTTGGTCCTCTCATTTTTAAAATGTTCATTTTGGTCCATATATTTTCTACTTTCTTTCTTTTTAGTCATTGTATTTTTAAAATGTTCGTTTTGGTTCCTGTATTTTAAAAGATGACAATTTTAATCCCTATTTGCAAAATAAATTTAACACAAATTATACATACAACGAAAATCCTTTAATATAAAGTTATTGTTATATTTCAATAAATATATTTGAGTATAGTGTAGTGTTGAAATTGTGATAGAAAAAAGAGATTAAAAATAAAATTAAGGGATCGAAATAGTAATTTTTTAAAAGTATAATGACCAAAATGAATTTCTTAAAAAGTATATGAATTAAACTGAACTAAAATAAAAAATGTAGAGACCAAAATGAACCAAAATAATATTATAAGTTAGAAAAAAAATAGACAACAGGATAAACTTAAAAAAAAGTACTAAGAGTGTCGTAATTTACGAAATCTAATTTCATATACTCTTTGTTCATAAAATATCAATTATTCTTATTGTGAAAAAAAAAACCTGATATATTATTTGACAAAACATTATCTAATATGGTATAAATGTACAATGTTACAAATAAATGAAGGAAGACGGGAGACCATGAATAACCGAATAACATTGCAGCAAAAGCGAGCATACTTCGACAATAATTGACATATATCTTCATTCACATATGTTGTACTAAAAAAGAGGCATCGCATAGTCAACAAGAACATAATTTAGTGGTGATCATTAGAAAATGAAAGGTGAAATAAGTTTTAGATCGTGAAATAAATTTTAGATCGTACTTTCAACTTTCATTGTTTTTAGTTCTTTTACTTTCGAAATATTTGTTTTATGATCTCTATATTTTAAAAAGGGATCAATTTGGTAATTTTTTTACAAATTTTTAGCACAATAAAAATTGTTGGAGGACAAAATACGACCTATCACGTGGGGTGTTATAGAAAGTCATTTCACGTGACATTCATCTGATATTTTAGGAGCCAAATAGATATGATTGACGTTTTAAACTCGATCAAGAGCGTTGTTTTATGGCACAACTCCACTGACTATGCGAAGACTTACTCCCAACTTATCATATACGAGTTGGCTGCAACAACCTAACCAACTTGGGTAACGGTCTAATAAACTAGACCGATACAGTCCATCTTCAAATCCAATATAAATAGCAACACATTTTCATACAAAGATATGCAATATAATTCCTCGTTTGGAGAGGTATGGATCAGATTTTTACTAACTTTAGAGTCAAAGTATTGGTTTTGTTTCGACATGTCTTTCCTCACATATATCGCTATGTAAAACTCGATCACGTCCACCTCACATGCACTTTCAAGAAAATCAGAAATGGACATAAACAAAAACACTTAATTCAAATTTATGACTGCATTCTAACAAAATTTATTGAGTAAGTGATTGTCATGCTAAAATTATGATGGAAAGAAATGAAATAAAATGAAAACGAACAGACGAAACTGAGTAATTTTTAAAATTACAGCAATCAAAACGAATATTTTGAAACGAACAAAAATAGAATGAAAGGAGGGTTAAAAATACAAAAATAAATACCCACATTGTGAAAGTAACTAAATGAATAAAAATTGAAAAATACAAATTCTAAAATAATGAAAAAGAAAATACAAAAATTGGATCAAAATAATATTTAAAGTTAATATGGACGAGTGAGTGGGAAGAAGGTGGCCGGCACGGTAGGACATGTGTCAGCAACAGGCTCCACCTCCATTGGCTTCAACGCAAAGTTTCGACCGTCTAATAAATTTTTTTGATTTTTTTTTCCAAAAAGTGCCCTATGCTACAGTTACCCTCCATGCGTGACAGCCATACTACGTGTCCTCTTTTCATAGGCCAAGCGCCAATTGGGTGTCTGAACTCTAAGCCATTTGTGGACTTTGAGCCACCAAACACACAGTACTGGCCGTTGGATTTAGAACAGACTAGATTCTGATGATAAACCCTAGATTTTAGAGGAGACAACAAAAAATCCTACTCGAAAATCCCCCCTCACTTTTTCCTATTTTCCTTTAATCAATTTCAAAATGTTAATAAAGGGAGCTCTTTTCTCATCATGATAATGGAAAGTTAAATAACTTAAATTAATGAACTGCCCATATGAATCCAAAAACCCAAGATTGATTTTGAAATAATGATTTTATTATCTTTTCACAAAGGCATATATATGTTCACGAAATAATCAACTCATTATTATGGTACCATTTTCATGTCAATATAATTATAAATTTACAAAATTCCAATACATATTTTAATTAGAAACTTTCAACTTAATTCACTCATTCTCTCTCTAATCAATCTTTTTGAAAGCTTTTTTTAAGTGAAAATTCGAACTTACACTGTATTAATCAGATGTAGATATCTTAACTAGTTATCCTTTCGATTTCTATATCGAACATATACTTATGAAGTTGTTTCAATTTATTGATTGACACTAAACCTAGATCTCTACCCTTGATAAATGAATCAATAATTTCTCCTCGAGCTCAATCATGTACTATTTACATCAAAACCCTAAAAAATGAGAGCTCGAGTGGAACAGAACAAGCGATGTCGAGTCAAGAGCATCTTCATTCCTATATAATAAAAAATAGTGGATCATGTCTTTCAAGTCACAAGATATATTAATTAAGAATTCATGGCAGGTTGATTTCAAACAAGTAATTGTTAAATTGACAGTAAAACATTATTTTCTAGAGTCGAGGTACAATCTATCTCTCATCCCTTCAAAATGTGAAGAATATATAATAGAGAAAAAAGTAGTTGGAGAGTAAATTCAATTGGAAGAGAAAAGTATGGGAGATTGAATTGAAAGGGGAGAAGAAAAGTATGGAGAGAACAACATTTTGATATAGAACCGACAAAAAGAGAAAAGGGAAACAAAGAAAAAAAAAAATGAAGCCTTAAAAATTGAAACTTGGAAATTTTATTTAGGGCACCCCACCCCACCCCTTTGCCCTTAAAAAGAGGAGATGTGCCCTTAAAGCCAAAACCCCAATATGCATGCGCAAAATGCAGCCCTTTGTATGGAGCTGGCCACTTTCTTCTTCTTCTTCTTCTTATTCTTCTTCTTCTTGTGGTTGATAATGGGTGGTTCAAAACGCCCCCGTTTTAAGAATTTTGAGGCGGTTGGCGGCGGCAGCGGCGGACTATTATCGTAGCCGGCCGGAGCTCATCATCCAGTGCCTTAGGGGAATCAAGCGCCCTGGTCCGACACTCTTAATCTATCTAATTCTCTCTTCCTTTTTCTTTTCAAGCGCTGTAATAATATTTATTGCAAATTATGTCTCATTTTTTATGCTACTCCTTATTGTTTTTGTCGAGGATAACAGTATAAAGATGATCCGTTTTGACTTTACTTTTAATTTCACTCAAAAACTCTCCACACTCTTTTATATACCATGGATTCCTCTCAACAGAACAGTTTTCACCTGCAAATCTAAAATTTTCATCTCTAGCCTGCTTTTTGGTTAGACCCAGTTGAAATTTAGGGACAAGATCCAAAATTTGTAGGTTCAGACTTCAAATTGTGGAAAGGGTTTTGGTAGGTTAGGGTAGGCAGAAACAACAATAACGTAACAGTAGATAAATGAATTATATGATCATCACTCATTTTTCTTCTAATTTTTCTGCCTAATTAATGGATTCTCTTTTTCTTTTTAATCATCACAAAGCAAAAGCCTGATCAGTTGACTTGACTATTCGTTTCTGTTCGTGCTGCGTTTTAATCATTCCCTCTTATGACAGATGGGAAAAGCAAAGAAAAAATAGTTTTGTAAGATGTATTGATTGAGGCTATTTATTTATAATCTGTGTGGATTATATTCTTGAAGAACTAGTTTTAGAGAACCCCAAAAAGAAAAACAAAAGGGGCAGTTCATGTTCATCATTAATTATGATCCATTCAGCCTAATTTGGTAACTGGTCACACTCTACTGTTGAATTCAAGTGTGTAAAGAGGATGTTTTTGGCCAAAAACATAATCATGTAACTGGACCTACCTACTTCACTTGGAGTGGATACTGAATCCACACACCAATAAATCATTTCATACGTAATAATACATCACATATCAAATTTTACAATAATACACCTTGAAATTTCTCTTAAATATGATACATGTAATTGAATTATTGTAACGAGTTAGAGCTTAAAAGATCTCAAATTATTATGAGATATTAAAATTCTATTAGTCCTCTCGATAGATATATATAAATTTTATGGAGTTAAATTGTTTGAGTTCTATAATTGCAGGGTGGAATATCGAATCATGTGAAAGCTTTTATCCATTAAGGCTATGTGCTCGGATTGGCTATTATAGAGTTACAGTTGGCGAGAATCGAGATAATAGTGGATATATAAAAGAAAATTTAAAGTATAATTATAATAAAGAAGAGAAAAAGGGGGTGTGGAAAAGGAGGGATTCAATGGAAAGCAGAGAGGTTGAGAGGAAGGTAGGTTCTGCAAAAAGCCTAAGCTTGCATTTTCAGACAACCACATATTTTTCCCAGTTTATTCAAATTCTCTTGCTTGCACTATTTCCCACACCCAAAATTTTCTCAATTTTACTGCGATGTTATTAAATTCATAAGTTACAAATTATTTTTATAAAAAATTACTTATAGATTTAAGTATAATTGAAAAAAAAACTAAAATCAATCAATGTTCGCTATAAAATCGGCCATATTTTGAGAATCCATCTTCTATTGCTAATTTTCTAGGCCCATTGGGTTCATTCTTGGGAAACCCATGTCAAACAACATTTTGTTTAATCGAAGATATATGTCTTAAGAATCTAAATGGGTGAGAAAATAGGTAGAATCTGAATCCTGATGTATCATTTTAAAAGATTTATCTTATTTCCAACACAAATCATTTACTCCACTAAAATTATAAAAAAAATGCTAAAGCTTTGAAACAAGAGAAAATAGCAAAATGAATGATAAACAGTAACATAAACATCAATCTCGCAGATCAGAGTATCTTCAGAAACTCGTAATGAACATCTGGATTTGCAATACATGGCCAAACTGTCAACTGTAATTCATTGAATCCAGACCAACTGATAGATTATAGCTTCTGAAAAATGAAAACAGAGCCAATGCTTCCTCTCAAACTAAATTGATTTTACTTGAACAACTTCAACATAATATCAAAAGAAACAAGAGTTACCAGATGCTGGTGGTTCCTACAAGTTGCAAACGAAGCTGAATCTGCAGCTTATCTTAAAGCCATGTGAGTGAAAACAATAAACAATGGCCAACAACAGATCATTTTAGTACATTGCTAGCTACCATTTACATCACTGAACTCGGTTTATTATTTACAGTCAAGCAGACACACAAAAATTGAGGATTCAGACACGTCCTAACCCGACTTGGCACGAGAGAAATCGTCTCAGAATAGAATATAGATTGGTGATTTGGAATCGTAGAGTGCAACAAGGCAGATTCTTCATTGAAAAACCTCAGACAAAACTTAGCAGCATAAGAGAGGGGAAAAAAGGTATCTGCAAATATACCATCATAAAAACATTATCCAGCCACGCTGTGACATGTGATGTCCGAGCCAACCAACAAGAGGACAACAAAACTACAAATATATGACATTGAATCCAGAAAGTTGCACAAAATGAAGAAAACAAGTCATTGATGTTGGTTCAAATTTAGCCTAACTTAAAAAGGAGTAAGGAGCATTTCAATTGGTTTCCGGGATCAAGTTGTTTCTTGTTCTTCCTATCACTCACTCGATTATTGATTGAATTACACCAGCTCCCACAGTCTTCCCACCTTCTCTGATGGCAAACCTCATTCCTTGTTCACAAGCCACCGGCATAATCAGTTCCACAACCATTTTCACTCGGTCTCCCGGCATAACCATTTTCGACTCCTCATCCTTGTCGTTCATAATCGAAGTCACCTTACCGGTGACATCCGTCGTCCTCATGTAAAATTGCGGTCTGTAACCGGCGAAAAACGGCGAATGTCTACCACCCTCTTCCTTCTTCAACACATACACAACTGCTAGAAACTTGGTGTGTGGGGTGATGGTGCCAGGCTTGGATAAAACCATCCCTCTTTGAATATCAGCCTTCTGAACACCTCTAAGCAACAATCCTACATTATCCCCAGCCAAAGCCTCATCAAGAATCTTCTGAAACATTTCCACCCCTGTTACTGTGGTGTTTCTAGTTTCCCTCAATCCCACAATATCCACTGTATCCCCAACCCTAATGGTACCCCTTTCAACACGGCCTGTAGCCACAGTACCACGACCAGTAATAGAAAACACATCTTCAACAGCTAGCAAAAATGGAAGATCAGTTTGTCTTTCGGGTATTGGTATATAGCTATCTACAGCATCCATAAGTTCAAAAATTTTGTCCACCCATTCGTTTTCACCTCTAGCAATACTTTGGTTAGCCATTAGAGCTTCCAAAGCTAACAAAGCAGAACCAGCAATAATTGGCACATCATCACCTGGGAATTCATAAGACGAAAGCAATTCCCTCATCTCCAATTCCACAAGCTGCAGAAGCTCCTCGTCATCAACTTGATCCTTCTTGTTGAGAAACACCACCATATTGGGGACACCCACTTGCTTGGCCAACAGAATATGCTCCTTGGTCTGTGGCATTGGGCCGTCGGCACCCGAAACCACCAAAATAGCGCCGTCCATTTGAGCAGCACCAGTAATCATGTTCTTGACGTAGTCAGCGTGGCCAGGGCAATCGACGTGGGCGTAATGCCGGCTCTCGGTCTCGTACTCGACTGTGGCGGTGTTGATTGTAATACCTCGGGCTCGTTCTTCGGGGGCGGCGTCAATTTCGTCGTACTTCTTTGGGGCTTTGCTGAGAGCCATGGTCAAGGCGGCGGTGAGCGTGGTTTTGCCATGGTCGACGTGCCCGATTGTGCCGATATTGACATGGGGTTTCTTCCGCTCGAATTTGCCACGGGCGGCTCGGATTGTGAAGGAGCGGGGACGGGCCACGGTCGCGGAAGAGCCCGAGGAGAAGGTTAAAGGACGAATTGAAGATGGGTTCAAGAAAGAGGAGGAGAGTTTGGGTATTGAGGAGGGTTTGGCGAAGAGAGAAGCCGGCGGCGAAGAGGGGGAGGGGGAGGCATGTGGGAAAACGAGCTTAGTGGAGGTAGAAGCCGAAGCTAAGGAAATAGCCGCCATGGTTGAGCGAGAAAGCTGAGAGAGGGAGCAATGGAGGGCAGAGAATGGATTTGGGACTTGGGAAGTGAGGAGAGAAGAGTGTTATCTTGTAGAAATGGGAAGACAAAAGAGGGCCTCAAATGGGGGCGTTCTATCCATTTCTGCCATCACCACAGCTCTTTGTATCAGTAACGTCGCTTACCTTCGGTATCATGGAGTTTCTGTGCTACTGCTCCAAAAATGCGTGGCTGGGCCTAGGGTTACTTGGTGAAATTCCTATTTTCTCCCTACTACAATTTTAAAATGCCGAACCACTCCTTTAGCGCAGCGGTGTCGTTTTTTGATCCATAATCATCAGGGCACCACATTTCCCATCTCGCCTCCGGTACTATGGAGTTTCCCTGCTATTCATGTTTGTGTTTGTGGCTAGTTTATTTTTAAATTTTATTTAATTATTGTTTTATTTTAAAAATATCACGTTACTATTGTGAGTGTGAGACGGAGGCCTTCCGCTTATAAGAAATGAGAAATGAGGAGTGTTATTGATACCTTAATTATTGAGTTATGTTTAGATTTTTTTTAATTCAACAAATGTGATAGGAAATCGAGTGAATATAATATACGCAAATGTCCGATTACTTGGATACATTGTGGACTAGACTTAATTTGGTTAGATTATCAAATTAGTTATTGAATTTGATAGATTATGTCTATTTAATTTTTTAACTTAAAAAAAGTCTTAATTATATGCTTATATACTTTATACCTTTTTTAAAGAAAAATATACTTTTGATTTTGTTTCTAGAAACCTTTTTATTTAAATGTTAAGACGATACATTAATTTGGATTATTTAGAACAATTAACCTAAGCGGCTTAGAGTGAGTAAGTCATAGAATTTGGTGGAGATAGACAGCTAAATACATTTGAAATCAAAATTCTGTCCTATACACCAATATTATATCTAGCTAACCTAACTAAGATTTACAATTTACGAACAAATTATAAAAAATTCCAAGAAATCAACCTTGGACATAAAAATGATCCAAAAGACCAAGCACTCGAATACGAACCCCTCCAATCCACCACCAAATCAAATTTGTGGGCACAAATCCAGGACAAGGCCAAGCCTATAGGACAGAGCCCATGGTAGAAAGTCCTTAAGGCTAGTGCAATCTCTCAATTATTTTGAAGGCTATCGGTCTATCTAACTCAAGTCCTTTAGATTTTAGAAATTTAAAAGTCAATAAAAGAAAAGTACCCTAATTTACATTACATTTAACATAAGTGTGTGACAAGCATGTGTATTCTATTTATCTTGCGGCTCCAATTGAATCCTATTAATAACACATGTGGTAATAATAACAAATTTTTAATATAACCAAAATTACCATTTAAAAGAAAATCAAAATTGAAAACTTAAAAGACTAGTTAAACTTTGTTAAATTTCAAGTTTCAATGGTTAATGAAACAAAAGAAAAGCACATTTGACCAAACCCAAATTGCCGAATACACCTTTGACAGGATAGCCGAGTATGGGCTGCTAGTTCTAAAGCCCATTTTAACATTGAAAATTTAAATAACTTGCCTTTTATTTTTCTAATAAAACAATTTTTTTGAGTACTTAATGAAAATATTAATAATTAGTAATCCAACAAATTTATAGTTTTTTTTTTCATTTTTAGTACGGAGGGATCAAAGCCACAATCTCATAGTTAGAGAAATGTGACAATTAAAACTATGCTCGCTTTGGTAAAAAAAATTATAATTAATGGTATATCTTCTTGTAAATTTCAATATTCTCACCTAAGTCCATTTTTTTTAATTTAATAAAATCTTTTGTATTATTATTATTATTATTATTGTAAGCTATTCTCGTTTGACAAACCTCTTGAACATAAATTCAATATGCATTCTATTTATGTTACAAAATAAATGTCTGATTTTGCATACCACGATAGTTGTTATCTCTTATATATCATGAATTATTTTATTTTCTATAACACTTAATTGAAGATATATGCTAATTACCGTTGAGTTATGCTCGCTTTGGTAGCTGGGGGCTCATGTACCATTTACAACTTATTTCATATTAAAATTTCAACCGATTTTGAAAACCTTCAATTGTACCCTCAATATCTTACAATTTTAAAATCAAATATCTAGAAAATAATGATAAAAATAAAAATGATGATGTGATATTCGAAAATATTATCTCTTATGAACAAATCACATTTTTTTAATGTTAAAATAATCATTCTACCGCACCTTTTTTTCCCATTTTGGAGAGCTTGGTTGAATTTTAAGGTACGGTTTGTTAAGGTTATCTAATAGAGTAAGGTGAGATATATATTAGACATAGAATAGTTGTTAATAAAAAAACAATAATATTTTGAAATGTAGTTGATCTCTTTTATTCAATTTTTTTATATATATATGTGCGAGTGTACTAATTTTACGGAGTAACCGCCTCTATTACATTTGGTTGTCAAAGAAATGCATAGAAAATTAATTCTTAGTAGAGGGTCATCACAGAATCTTAACCCATTCAATTTCAATTTTAATTGCATTATTTTTTCCCTCTTTCTAAGTCCATTAGTTACGGGGGTGGAGATAAGCAGAATGACCAACAGGCCAAAATATATATTATTAACATGATATACAAAAGCATATATATATATTGAAAACGTTACTTAGAAAACAACCCAAGTTATGGAAACTCGCCCGTGAAACAATGTTTTCGGACGAATTTCATAACTCGGGCGAGTTCTCCTCGAACTCGCCCCTTGGATAATTTATCGAGAAACTTTCTGGAGTGAGATCATGTCCGAGAAATAAGACAAAAGTCTTGCTTGAGTTTAAGCCTCTTATTTTGGCCTTTGCTTTATTTCCCGGGCGAATTCATGCCCGAGAAATAAGGCAAATGCCAATTTTCGGGTAAAATTTGTTTGAGTTTTCATCAAGCAATCAGAGTTTTGGCCACTCATTTATAATATATAACCATAAACAAGATTATTGGTATGTGATTTATGTCCATTTAATTTCAACAAACCCAAATTAAAAAATAATAAATGTATCCCAACCGATGTTATGCAATTTCATCGAGATTCAAGTCCGAGATTTATGCGGGCCAAGATTACATAAATCCCAACCGAGATTATGCAATTTCATCGGGATTCAAGCCCAAGATTTAAGTATAGCAGAATAGTAGGATGCCTATGAAGCCAAGGAATGCATTATCTATTTTAAGTATAGTGAGATTTTTGAATTTTAGGCGACATTTATGCCGGGTCCAGATTTATGGAATATGGATTGAAATCCGAATTCGATATCTACCTGAAAGAATGATGTGTTGTTATAAACAAAAGCTCAAAAAATTTTAAAGAAAGTTAAAATATATATATATATATATATATATAAAGTTCTCAAGAAATTTTAAGGAGAGTTAAAAATATATATATAAAGTTGGAAGAAATAGAAACAAAACAAAACATCACCTAATTTATCACAAGGGCATAAATATAATTTCAATTCTTTTTTAACTAATTAAAATAATAAAATAGATTAGAAAAAACAATTTTAAATGGATTGGTTATTTGAACAAATCATTTTGTGGATCAATTCAATCAATATCCCAAATTTCAAAGACTTGACGATATATTTAACATTTTAAATTAAATTTTGGCTAATTTTGAAATTAGATTTAAAAATAAGAAAATAAAATAAAGAAAAAATTATTAGTGGAGAATATTAAAAAAAAATGAAAATGGGAAGATATTTTTAATCAAATGGGACTTAAAAAATTCCCCGTCATTTTATATTTGGAAAAATCCAATGACCTATGCATAAAAACGCTATAAACGTACATCTCTTCCTTAATATATTTAACAATAATTTTTTATGCAAATGAGACAAACATTAACAATTTGAAATTTGAGAAAATATAGATTTCACTTCATTTAATTAATGGAGACGGGGTTACACGTTTTGGAGAGAATTTTCTCTTTCAATTTTGTCTTATCTCTCTTGAACTCTTCTGCTTGTCATATTTTTCAATGATTTTATTATATGGTTTAGTTGAAAATTGATTCCATATATCTTTTTAAAGATTATAAAACCATATGGTTATCTTAAAGACAAATACAAACTCATCTTTGACCATATCATAATCTACATTATTGTTTTTAAAAAAGCACATCAAAGCACCCAAAAGTTTTTTTTTTAAATCATATGAAATGGTCAGATAAAGTGGACTTCCAATATTAAAATTTTCAAGACAGGGTCTTCGCTCACATGAAACTTTATAAGAAAATAAAAAATTATATGTTATTAAATTTTACAAAATTGAATAGTCCATAGTTTATAGAAGTAATGGACACAAAATTATATAATGCGTTTAACTCAAAAAAAAAAAACTATATATAGTGTTATATAAAATATACACAGTAATAGGTACCATTCAGCGAAATATAATATGTTGTTTCACCATTGTCTCTAGAGATAATATAATATGTTGTTTCACCATTGTCTCTAGAGATATTCCAAGATTAATTTGATTAGTTCTCACATCACTTCTATAAAACCGATGAATTCTCATAAAGTCACTCATCAAACACAACAATTAAATACATTTYAGTAGATAAGGATTGGTCAATAGGATATGACTCTTAACACACATCTTATCCTTTTAGAATCTTTTCGCGTAAAATATAACAATTTTAATTTATAGTTCAAGGTTTGATTCTACTGATTCTTATAGTTTAAGTATATATGATTTGTACCATTTTCATTCTATCACTAATGGTTTTATTTTATTTCAACAATTTTGTAAGTTTATAAGAGTGATTAGATCAAATTGAAAATTTAGGAGTGTGATTGGAATTCCTAGGAGTAGTTTGTTCAATTTTTCCTTGATAAAGTATCATTTGTGCAAAATAATAAGTTAATGATCCTCTTCTAACTTTTAAGATGTTAGATATAAATGTTAGTGTTTAAAAGACAAAGAATAAGAAGCTCTAAAAATTTTAATGGGATCATCGAATTACCACCTAAACATTCAATATTTTATGCAATTATTCATAAAAAAGATTAATACAATTATATTTGTACGAATGTGTGGTTCTGTAACCTAACATTTCGGATGGGTTGAGGGGCAATTATTTTAATGGTTTTCTTTTTATGTGTCAGAGTTGTAACATTTTTTAACGATAATTGACATATATTCCTTCTCAAGTTAAGATTATGCTCGTGTCCATATTTCTCTGTCGCCATATTTGGATTTTTCAAAACTTAAAGACATGCAGAAGAGAAAGACGAGACTCACTCATGGGGCAGGAGGTTCGATCCCGTATCCTCGGATTATTGTACTAAAAGAAAAACCTTTATAAATAGCGTATGCTAAATTTGAGAGACAGAGAGAGATGGGGTCTCTTCTTCTTTGGTTGCTATGTAGTCCAATTACGTGCTTCACTGGTTTCATCATCTTCCTCCTCTTCCTCCTTCAAAAATGGTTCCCAAATTCAAATTCAAATTCACTTCCATCTCCACCAAAAATTCCCATTTTCGGACACCTTCTGAATCTGGGTTTGCATCCCCACATCACACTCCAAAGCTACGCTCGCCACCATGGCCCTCTGTTTCTCCTCCACCTCGGCAGCAGGCCCACCGCCGTCGTCTCCTCAGCCGAATTGGCCCGCGATGTCATGAAAACCCACGACCTGGTCTTTTCCAACCGACCCAAATCCTGCATTAGCCAAAAGATTCTCTACGGCGCCAGAGACATCGCCGCATCCCCTTACGGCGAGTACTGGAGGCAGATGAAGACTATTGGCGTGGTTCATCTCTTGAGCAACATAAGGGTCCAGTCATTTCGCTCTGTCAGAGAAGAAGAGGTCAAATTCATGATTCACAAGATCCAACAGAGTCCAATCTCGGTGAATTTGACCCAAATATTCTCTGAACTCACAAATGACATAGTTTGCAGAGTGGCGTTGGGGAGAAAATATGGGGTTGGAGAAGATGGGAAGAAATTTCGATGTCTTCTGCTGGAATTTGGGGAATTACTGGGGAGTTTCAGTGGAAGAGATTTCATCCCGTGGCTGGGTTGGATCGATGGAATTAGTGGATTGGACGCCAAAGCAGAGAGAGTAGCAAACGAAATCGATGCTTTCTTAAACAGAGTGATTGAAGATCATGTAGAAACGGGGGAAATTAGTGTCGATAAGCACAAGGATCTGGTGGATATTCTGCTTTCCATACAGAAACAAGACTCAATTGGTTTCCCCCTTGAAATGGACAGCATCAAAGCTTTGATCTTGGTAAAACAACCTCGCCCTTCGCTTTCCTTATCAACAGTACATAACAAAGTTTTTAACTTTACGAGAATTTTGGGTTACAGGACATGTTTGCAGCAGGTACAGACACGACGTATACAGTGTTGGAGTGGGCAATGTCGCAACTTTTGAGACACCCAGAAGCAATGAAGAAACTGCAAACCGAGGTTAGAGAAACAGTAGGGGATCGTGAGAAATCATGTGTAAGTGAGGATGATTTAGAGAGGATGCATTATTTAAAGGCAGTAATCAAAGAAACGCTGCGACTACACCCACCGATCCCACTTCTCGTCCCTAGAGAATCGACCCAAGACATCAAATTAAGGGGCTATGATATCAAAGCTGGGAGTCGAGTGATAATCAATGCATGGGCCATTGGGAGAGACCCGGAGCTGTGGGAAGAAGCAGAGGAGTTTCGTCCAGAACGATTTCTAAACAGTTCGATCGATTTCAAGGGCCATGATTTTGAGTTAATCCCATTCGGTGCAGGGAGAAGAGGGTGTCCTGGAGTTGTGTTTGCAATGGTAATTAATGAGATCGCTTTAGCAAATCTAGTACATAAATTCGAGTGGACATTGCCGAGTGGAGCAAACGCAGAGGATTTGGATATGACGATGGTGTCTGCGTTAACAATTCATAGGAAGTTTCCACTTGTAGCTACCGCAACTCCTTACTAGTTGAGTGTTCTTTTGTAGAGAAGGCAACATTGTCTTTGGGTTTGATTGTACGTGCGTTTTGAGTTTCATTAGCTTTGCAAATTATGTGCCAATAAAAAAATTACATAAACTATTAAATATATCATATCATTCACCAATAAGATATAAATGTCAATTATGATTGAATTAAGGCCTCATTTACCTAATATGAATCAGAATGGAAATGAACCAGAATAAAAATCATTCGGAATCAAATCAATTATTTTATTAAAATAAAAATTTATTTTATTACTATATTATTGATAGTAAATATTTTTTACCAAAACAATTTATTTAATATTAATATTAATAAATAATTAAAATAAAATTACATCCACTAAAATACTATTTTATTACAACCATCATCATTAATATAAAATTTTATTATAATAATATTTAATGATAATGTTATTAAATTTTATTATTATAATAATCAATAATAATCAATTATATTTTAGAAAATCTGACATTAATTAATAATAACAAAATTAATTTAAAAAATTAAAAATTTTATATTAATATCCCATTAACTAATAAAAGTGTTATAAATTTTTACTAAAAGTAAAAGAAAAATTATTAGTAGTATAAATGAAAAAGTATAAAATAATTAAATAAAAAAGGATGGATCTCATTAGTCATGAGAGAGAAATGATAAAAATGAATGCAATAAATATGTGGGACACACGTAATAAAGAATGAGAATGAGATTAATGAAGGTGGAGGAGAGAAATGAGATTGCCCTTTTTTAGGGAATGAGAATGAAAAAAGTGGATGGATCTCATCCTTTGATTCTCATTTCAACAATTTGATAAATACTGAATGAAAAAATTGATTCACATCCCTTCATTCACATTCCTACGAAGTAAACAGGGTTTAAGTTCATGTTGGTGGACATACCCATGAATTAAATTTAGAAATTGGGCAACTTTGCCGATCTAAATGAATATATATGGATCATCTTCGACCAAAAGGGAATTAGGAGACACGATTCATATCATAATATCTTGGAGATTTTCCCACTCCCATCTAGCGGCTAAATTCTAGAAAGAGAGCCATTATCTTCAGCCACACCCACTTCTCAAATAACTTGGGATGCAAAATCTTTTTGGCCTCAAATAATATGTGGATATAGATTCATAGACGATAAAATTGAAAAATGATTGAACGAGGTACCACAATATAATTACTCTGGACAATTGGATGTAAATTCAAAAATTTTGACGCCCTCTAATAATTAGAGATTCCAAGTATTTCTATAGTTCATCTCTCGTAAAGTTAAATAGTGTAAAATTGCCAACTATTTTACGGTTGACTTCCTCCAATAATTTTTTACAAAAGAGAGAGGAGAGACGCAGCAACTCAAATAGATAGATGAGAATGGTGCATAAATTCAAAAACTAATCTTGAGTTTAAAAAAAGAAAACCCATAATTTCACAGACTAATTGAAAACTTTTGAATTTTTGTATAGACACACACTAAATATACAGAGAATGTAAAAATGTGGATTATGTTCAGCCACGGTGGACACGAATGTTAGCCAATAATATTTGTTTTCTTTCACATTTATGGTTGCGAAGTTGTTCTTCTTGCTGGTGTTTTTCCGTATTCGAATTCCTTTTTTCTTTCCCCCTTTTTAACATACGAGAGTTTCACTTTCGCAAATTGGAAAGTCCAGTGAGAGTGAGAGAGAGAGAGAGAAATGGAGAGTCTTGCTCTTGTTGAGTTGCTATTTCATCCAATTTGCTCAACAGCTTTCATCCTCTTCCTCGTCTTCCTCCTCCAAAAATGGCTAAAATCTTCCATTTCAGACCAATCCTCGCCCCCATCTCCGCCAAAAATCCCCATTTTCGGCCACCTTCTGAACCTGGGTTCCCTTCCCCACATCACTCTCCAAGCCTACGCCCGGCGCCATGGCCCTCTGTTTCTCCTTCACATCGGCAGCAAGCCCACCATCGTGGCCTCTTCCGCCGAGATGGCTCGAGAAATCATGAAGACCCACGATCTGATCTTCGCCGACCGCCCCAAATCAAGCATAAGCGACAAGCTTCTCTACGACTCCAGAGATATAGCCGCATCCCCTTGCGGCGAATACTGGAGGCAGATGAAGAGCATTGCAGTGCTTCATCTATTGAGCAACAAAAGGGTTCACTCCTTTCGCTCCGTCAGAGAAGAGGAAGTCAAACTGATGATCCAAAACATCCGACAGAATCCGGCGTCGGTGAATTTAAGCCACGAATTCTCTAGACTGACGAATGATGTGATTTGCAGGGTGGCTTTAGGGAGGAAGTACGGGGCCGTGGCAGGGGAAGATAAGTTCCGGGATATTCTTCCCCAATTTGTGAAATTGTTGGGGAGTTTCAGTGTTAGAGACTTCGTTCCGTGGCTGGGTTGGATTGATGGGATCAGTGGGATGGATGCCAAGGCAAAGAAGGTAGCCAAAGAACTTGATGATTTCGTTGACAGAGTGATTCAAGATCATGTCCATGCAGATTACAATCCCGAGGAGCAGAGTCAGGACTTGGTGGATGTGCTGCTTTCAATTCAGAGACAAGATTCCATCGGTTTTCCCCCCCTTGAGATGAAAAGCATAAAAGCTTTAATCTTGGTAATTGGCGTAACAGTTTAATATACATGATGAAACTTGGCTAGTAGACTATCTCAATATTCATGGGTTAGTCTCAAAATCAATGAATAATGTGAGGATTAGCCTCCTTTTCGTAGGATCTTTATCATGTCTCTTCAATATCATGATTATTTTTTACTTATTAACTTGGTCGGATCTCTTTTTTAGATCAGATGCTTAGTATTTATGGGGTTCCATCTCAAAATCAATAGATAATTAGAGGGGTAGCTCACTTATATTATAAATCATCGTTAGATCTATTATCTTTTTTGTAGGATTCTTAACAGACTATTACATGAAAGTTAAAGCATTTTTGTTTCTATTTTGAATACATGACATGTTTGCAGGAGGTACAGACACAATATACACGGTGTTGGAGTGGACAATGTCAGAACTTTTGAGACACCCAGAAGCGATGAAGAAATTGCAGAGTGAGGTGAAAGAAGTAGCAGGGGAGAAAGAATACGTGAGTGAGGATGATTTAGAGAAGATGCATTACTTGAAGGCAGTTATCAAAGAAACGTTGCGTTTACACCCACCGATCCCACTACTAGTCCCGAGAGAATGCATACAAGATGTGAAATTAAAGGGGTACCACATTAAAAGGGGGACCCTAGTGATGATCAATGCATGGGCTATTGGAAGAGATCCACAAGTGTGGGGATCAGACGCAGAGGAGTTTCAACCAAATAGGTTTATAAATAGTGGGATTGATTTCAAGGGCCATGATTTCGAGTTGATCCCATTTGGAGCAGGGAGAAGAGGGTGCCCTGGAGTTTTGTTTGCGACAATAATTGGTGAGATAGCCTTAGCAAATGCGGTGTGTAAATTTGAGTGGACATTGCCAGGTGGAACAGATGCTAAAAGTCTAGACATGACCATGGCCTCTGGATTAACCATTCATAGACGGTTTCCACTTGTAGCAGTGGCCACTCCTTGCTAGAGGCCAACCTCAACATCATTGTTGCAGAGCATCGTTTCAACTTTAATATCTAGTATCTATCTATGTATATAAACACATGATAAAACTTAGGTGTTTATTAATAAGTGGTAATTGAGAAGAGGAGGATTTCAACTTTACTATCTAGTATCTATACATACACATGATAATTTATTTTTCCTATTTGTCATTGTTTTAATAATTGTAAGTAGGAAATACCTACGCATCTAAGGACCCGTTTGCTAATATTATGTGTTTCTCGTTTCCAATTTTCTTAAGAAATCTAAACATTTGCAACTAACTATATTTTTGTTTCTCCTTTTTGGGAGCATTCTCCAAATTGTATAAAAATTGGAAACAATCGAAAACACGTTTCTTACTTCTTGTTCCCATTTCCAATTTGTTCCAAATCATTAAAAAAAGTTTCATCATACTTGATTTCATGGATGTTGGCAATGCAATTCAACTTTCTTCATTAAAAACGAAGAAACAACAACAAGAAATTGGAATGTTACTAGACCAACCTTAAATTTTATACATATATGTGTATGTTTCTTTATTGTGTTAGTTTTGACATCGTGTTTTGTTGAAAGTATGTCACCAAAGTTAAAAGGAAAAAGTTCAAAATTTTCCTTCAATTGAAGTTAACTTTTACCCTAAATTTTCCATTTGGGGAGGATTAAAAAGAATACTTTCATAGGTTAACAATAGAGATCTTAAATTTATTTAATGGTCTATCTCGTAGGATAAATCTAATCAACGTGAGACATTATTTATATTCGGATAACAACTTGCATGGCGTACTTGAATAATAGAACGCCCGTAGCTATGCATATTGAGATAAATTTGTACTACTTTGGTGTTAGTGTAATTATTTTGTCGCTTTATATTATTATTTTTGTTTTGACATCCTTTATTAGTTTTCTGGTGGTGTGGAGGAGAGGAATTTAGGCTTGGACCCCAAATTAAATAGGATAGGATATTAAAACAGATGATAATAGTAATAACTAACAATAAAGTAGCCACCACACATTGTATGGGATATTAAATTTGAGATGATCACACTATTGAACTCGTTCTATCTAAATTATTTTTCTGGAATTACGTAGGTCCCACATATTTATTAAAGTTATTTACTATTTTTATCTTTTCTCTTCCATAAGGTCCTACTGTTTGGGCATAGTATGTTTCCCTTTTATAAATAGAATGAGTTGATTCATCAATCTTGGCTAGATCCTCGTTTGAATTATTTGGACTCTGATATCATATTAATATTTATGGGTTACATTTCAAAATCAATTGATAATCATGTAAGTTCTCTTTTCTTTTCACTGTGGGGTATATCCTTAACAGTATGGCGAAGTAGACACACCAAATATACCGAACGTTTGAGAAAGAAAATTAGGGGCAAACCTACATTTAAACCAAACAAAAACACAGATGTGGATAATCTTCAGCCACGGTTAGGCACACGCACAAATATTAGGCAGATTTTGTTTCCCATTTATGATTACGATGTTCTTCCTAGTGTTTTTCCCTGTTGGAATTCTTCTCTTAATCCTTAAAACATACACTTTCGCAAATTGTAGAGAGACAGACACAGAAAATTAAGAAATGGAGTCTTTCTCTTGTTGGGTTGTTGTTTCATCCAATTTGCTTAACTGGTTTCATCGTCCTTTTCCTCCTCCAAAAATGGCTGAACTCTTCAATATCAGACCAAGCAAATAGAGTCGCCAAAGAGCTTGACGATTTCTTTAACAGAGTGATCCAAGATCATGTTCATCCCGACGAGCACAAGGCCGACTTGCTGGATTTGTTGCTTTCTATACACATAGAAGACTCGATGGGTTTCCCCTTGAGATGAAAAGCGTAAGAGCTTTGATCTTGGTAAGCAAGCCAAGTGTGATAGAGTTCAAAGTTCAAAGTTGAGACCTTTTTGTTTTGACTCTATAAATTGGCACCGACACTACATACACGGTATTGGAGTGGGCGATGTCAGAACTTCTTAGACACCCACAAGTGATGAAGAAATTGCAGGGTAAAACTTCTGAGACATCCCCTAGTGATTTAGAGAAGATGCATTGTTTGAGGGCAAGTAATCAAAGAAATGTTGCGTTTGCACCCACCAATCCCGAGCGAAGCATGGCAAGACGTGAAATTAAAGGGGTGCCACGTTAGAGGGGTAACGCGAGTTATGATCAATTCTGGGCCATTGGGAGAGACCCACGAGTGTGGGGATCAGACGCAGAGGAGTTTCGACCAGAAAGGTTTATGGACAGTGGGATTGATTTCAAGGACCATGATTTCGAGTTAATCCCATTTGGAGCAGGGAGGAGGAGGTACCTTGAAATTTTGTTTGCAACAATAACCAATGAGATACCCTTTACAAATGTGGTGTATAAGTTTGAGTGGATGCTGCCAGGTGAAGCGGATGGTAAGAATCTAGACATGACAATGGTGTCTGGGACAACCATTCATAGAAAGTTTTCACTTGTAGCAGTAGCGACTCCTTACTAGAGGCCTACTTGCTTTGACTTTAATTACTATACCTATATGTTTCTTTATTGCTATGGCTTTGACATTGTGTTTTGTTAAGGATATGTATAATAAGTTAAAAAGTTCAAATTTTACCTTTCAACTTGGCAAGGAAGTTAATGCTTTTAGCTTTGACACTGTGTTCTGTTAAAAATATGTATATATAAAAAGTTAAAAGGGAAAAAGTTTCATAAAATTGAACTTTGATTTTAATAAGTTAAGTGAATCAACTCAAAACGGTAAGAGGATTGACTTCGATCCAATATGTGAGAAGAGAATCCAACATTCTAGCCCATAAAATTGCAAAGAAAATCATGGATTTTGGTGAGAATTTAACGTAGATTTATCGTTTCCCACCTTGACTTTGTGTTTTTAATTGAATACCAACTCTTGAGCTAACTCTTTAGTTCCTTTATTATCAAAATAATAACAATAATATTTGTTGGAAAAAATATCGCCTTCTACTACGTTCACAACAAAATAACTAACTACGAACCCTTCTCCTTCCATAATTATTCAGCGAATTCCAGTAAACTACAGAATAAAAAATAAAAAAAAAACACAGAAACGTCACAAAATTTATATTGGTTCACTAACGACAGCTACGTCTGGTCGACCAGGGATTCTACCATGACAAGGGATAATACAGTAAGTATATAATATCTCTAAGATAATCTCTCTAGATGTCACACTAAAGGCCAGCTATACGAACTATAACCACAGGAACCTTGGATATAGGAACGACCACGGATTGTTAGTTCTTTGTGTTTCACTTCCGCACATTGTCGGCAGACCCTAAATTCTGGTGAGAGAGAAATGGAGAGTAGTGTTGCTTTCGTTGAGTTGCTATTTCATCCATTTTACTTCACTGTTTTCGTCCTCTTTCTCATCTTCCTCCTCCAAAAATGGCTAAACTCTTCAATATCAGACGCAGCCTCGCCCCCATCTCCGCCAAAAATCCCCATTTTCGGGCACCTTCTGAACCTGGGTTCCCTCCCCCATATCACTCTTCAAGCCTATGCCCGGCGCCATGGCCCTCTGTTGCTGATTCACCTCGGCAGCAAGCCCACCATCGTGGTCTCTTCCGCCGAGATCGCTTAGGAAATCATGAAGACCCACGACCTGATCTTCGCCGACCGCCCCAAATCAAGCATAAGCGACAAGCTTCTCTACGACTCCAGAGATATAGCCGCATCCCCTTACGGCGAATACTGAAGGCAGATGAAGAGCATTGCAGTTCTTCATCTCTTGAGCAACAAAAGGGTTCACTCCTTTCGCTCCGTCAGAGAAGAGGAAGTCAAATTGATGATCCAAAACATCCGACAGAATCCGGCGTCGGTGAATTTAAGCCACGAACTCTCTAGACTGACGAATGATGTGATTTGCAGGGTGGCTTTAGGGAGGCTGTGGCGGGGGAAGATGGCAGGAATAAGTTCCGGGATCTTCTTCCTCAATTTATGAAATTATTGGGGAGTTTCATTGTAAGAGACTTGATTCCGTGGCTGGGTTGGATTGATGGGATCAGTGGGATGGATGCCAAGGCAAAGAGGGTAGCCAAAGAACTTGATGATTTGATTGACAGAGTGATTCAAGATCATGTCCATCCAAATTACAACCCCGAGGAGCAGAGCAGGGACTTGGTGGACGTGCTGCTTTCAATACAGAGACAGGACTCCATCGGATTTCCCCTTGAGATGAAAAGCATAAAAGCTTTAATCCTGGTAATTTAGGTACTACAAGAAACAACCAACTAGTACACTATTACATGAAAGTTGAGACCTTTTTGTTTGGATTTTGCGTTACAGGACATGTTTGGAGGAGACACGGTATTGGAGTGGGCGATGTCAGAGCTTTTGAGTCACCCAGAAGCTATGGAGAAATTACAGGGTGAGGTGAAAGAAGTAGCAGGGGAGAAAGAATACGTGATTGAGGATGATTTAGAGAAGATGCATTACTTGAAGGCAGTGATCAAGGAAACATTGCGATTACACCACCAATCCCACTACTAGTCCCAAGAGAATGCAGGCAAGACGTGAAATTAAAGGGATACCACATCAAAGGGGGAACCATAGTGATAAACAATGCATGGACCATTGGAAGGGACCCACAAGTGTGGGGATCCCCATTTGGAGCAGGGAGAAGAGGGTGCCCTGGAGTTTTGTTTGCGACAATGATCAGTGACATAGCCTTGGCAAATTTGGTGTGTAAGTTTGAGTGGACATTGCCACTCCTTGTTAACGGCCGACCTCAATATACAATGATCAGTGACATAGCCTTGGCAAATTTGGTGTGCAAGTTTGAGTGGACATTGCCACTCCTTGTTAACGGCCGACCTCAATATTATTGTTGTAGGCTTGTAGAGAGTGAGAAAAATGGAGAGTAGAGTGGTTGAGTTGTTATTTCATCCCATTTCCTTCGCTGCTTTCCTTCTCTTCCTCATCTTCCTCCTTCAAAAAATGGTTAAACTCTTCACCATCAGTCGAAGCCAGAAAATTGAATCGCATGTGTATCGAATTTTGAGGACGAACGATTAAATCTCATGCATCACATTGCATTCAAAGAAAAATAATATGAATGTTGGTATTATAAGACTATTGGAAATTGCAAACAGAAACAATATGAATGTTGGTATTATAGTTACTGTTATATGATCATTTGGAAAGAGATGAAACATAGGCAAATTATATTATGAAGCACAAACGCCAAAAAATTACATACAATAAAAACATGATGCTATCGTTCTTTCTTCATGAACTACTTTGGGTCGGGTGGTAAACTCTGGTTCGGAATCTATATTACAGCAGATCTTCCAAATCATATCATTAATTCCACACCACATTATGATCACTCAAAAATCTCTACTCTACCCAAAACTCCAGACCTTAATCTCTCATGTCTGAACTTAGTGAGACCTTAATTCCTGAATATAACGACCTAATTGCTGAGCGCCTATAAACAGGGCATCAGCGGCGAGAAAGACTGCAACCTGTGCCAAAAAGGACGGAAATTTAAGATGGAACTGAACTGGAAAGCAGTTAACTAAAACATAAAGGTAAAACATTACCAGACGGGCCGAGTAGACAAATCGATAACCCCAACCTTCTTTTGCAGCTACCACCCTTTGTTGATCGGTCCAACTGAAACTCACAACAGAAACAGGCAGTTTCAAATCAAATTATATTTATTTGGAATCTTGTCTTGCTCTTTGAAATTCAGTCTTTCTTAAGTAAATTCTTTGAAAGATAAACTCTCATTCTTAAGTAATCACAATGAATCTGATTCACAGGCATTTCTGAGATTATGCAACATACAGTTATCTGTAACACGTCAATCAACAATATTTGTAAGTAGAGAACTAGATTGCTTGCAAATTAGCGGACTAAAATCAGCCATTACCCAAGGAATTCTGAAAGCCCACCAATCCCAGCAAATTTTAGAGGCTGAGGCCCTTCTCTGACGAGATCCTGCTCCAAGTAAAAAGATAGATATTGCCCAAATTATAATTTTACTGACTGGAATAACTACAGAGAAACCAGAGACAGCAGGAAACGTAACAAGAGAGGATGCAGAAACTACAAAGCAAGAACATGGATACCTCTTCTTCAGCAGTTTCTAGACCCCCTTGGACCCAGAAAATGTTTTTGTAACCAGCATTGTAGAGAAGCTCGCATGCAGCTAAAGACCTTCCAAAAATGTTGTTCAGATGAAAGAAGCCCGGCCAGGATAATAAAGTATGTAATAATACCATTGGTTTGGTTCTTTTACTGATAGTCCGATACAAATAAAAAGTAATGTCACACTCTTGTAAATTTTTTCATTATAACATTAGTCCAGAGGTTTTATGCAAAATAACAATGCGTGCAATCTTTTGACTCAGCAAGATGCTTTTTCATAACTTTAACCCACTGCTTATTGCTGGATTCAGTGTAATTTATTGCAGTTACATGGAACTCAGAAGATCATGATTAAGAGTTGCGGAAAATCAAACAATTCATTATGAACCAAGTTGCAATCTCAGATTATAAGCGATATTATTTACAAAGGTTTCCTTCAAGTCCAATCAAAGAATCAGGAGACTACCTCAATCCTTTTTGGCATGCAAGAATAAGGTCTGCATCTTTTGGAAACTTCTCTTGAACTTCTGACAAGAACCGGCTGTTCAAGTGCAGGGAAAGAAAAATGTAAATATGGATTACACCAATTAACAAAAAGATCAGAAGAGCTAATGGCCTGTGCTATACCTATTGTAGGACACTGTAGGTACACCACTCCACCAACCCCCTGTGAAAATATGAGAACAATGTAAGAGAAAAACCGCCAAAACAATTCAAAAATAAAAATCCCACTAGTTTTATGGTCATTAATACTGTATTAGTTTTTAAAATATCCAGCCATTACCCTGATTAACTAATCTCACTAGCAATTTTGATAAGGCAATTAATCAAAATAGCTTGTGTCTCAAATTGAAAGCTGCAGAAGGTGACAACCAGAGAACTAGACTTTGGTCTTTAAAGAAAAGATAGCAAGAGTCCCATGGTACCCATCATGAAGCTTGTGACCTTTCGAGAAAGAGTTCCAGGATCAAGTTTGTCGTCAACGTCAAAGATAGGAATCCAAGTTGAGCCTTTAATCCATGCCTTCAAAATATGGAAGAAACATGAGTTCACGAGTCCAGCAATGAACGAATATGAAGATGTATAGATCACGAAATCTGTAGATAGCTAGTGAAGGTTGGAGAAAACTGTATCGACATTTTTGGAATAAGAACTAATTCACATATGCCACTAAAACTAGTGAGCCTACTATAACGTGTAAACTGTAGTAAGCCTTCAACAATATAACCTACTGGTATCAAAGCCCATTAACAGCCAATTACACAGGTATTACAAGGAAATATGAGATGACAATTGAGTCATAAGCTTTTTCATGTGGCCAATATAGCAACTGTCACCATCAGTAAAAAGTAAGCAAAACTTCAGTGATATTTTTGCTAACGAGTGCAAGATCGCAGACTAGAAACTACCTTGTTGTGTTCTGTCGAAGGACGCACATCAAGCAATGTCTTATCAGAGAGTTGAATCGCATAACCAGCTTCCCTTGGTTTAAGAACTTTCACTTTGCCTTCCCGGACCTGTACATATAAATTATCAGTGATCAACAAATAGCACACATTGATTAATCATACTACCAAAAATATTGAATGAACAATTTAGAAAACCTAAAGAACGCAATCAAGAATCAAAGTGGTTGAAAAATAGCACACAGACTTTCTTACAATTAACGTACACGTCAAATTACTTGTTGATAGTCAAAATTAAGATGAATCCAAAATCCCAACCCATTGTCACAAGATATCTATATACACCAACAGTTCAAATGAGTAACTGACACATAGACACTCAAGGGACAACTTTTTTGTGTTTACTGGTAATCTCGGAGAGTATGACTAAATTCCAAATCCCAATCTGATTGACAGCACCTATTGAAGCCAATACCCTACTTATTTTCAACCGACTGGTATGAATCAGAAAGGCAATTAGATTAGGTTCAGCTTGCAGATAAAAGAATCATTAAAACCCTTCAACAAGTTTGGTCAAACAAACATTTCACTCATGTCACTAAAATGCAATACAAAGTAAACGGTCAGTACCAACCAGAGATTCCCATCTCTTCTTTGCTGCAGCCATGTCCCTCATTTGCTTCAGGTCATAATCTTCACTATCAGTTTGCATTCTGATAACACTGAAACGCTGGACAAGACATTGACATTATAGAAACAAATGGATCGTGGAAGGAAAAAAGGCCAGCAAATAGACCGGGACCTATAGTTTCCAATACAGCAATATTTCTCACCTTAACTGGCACTTTCACAAGACAGCAATCTTTCACTTATTTTCTGAGTTCTTTAATGATTTCCAAGAAAACAATGAAATACTACCAAAATTGGAAAAAGGGTATAGAATTACGTACATGGCGGTGAGAACCATGGAAGGGCCTGAATTTGAAGGTAGATTGTTCAGAGAAGTTGCAGTGTTGCAGTCTTCTGGAAACGTTGGCGAAACTTCGTTTCTGCAAATTAGAACAGGAAATGGAAGGAGAATTCAGAGAAGGAAGCGCCAGAGCTTCCATTATTATGCTCTGTACAGAAGCGGGAGTGATAGAGAGTGTCCAAAGGCCTTATCCAACGCCCATATCCATCAAACCCACGAGGAATACGATATCCGGAATCTGGATAAATTTCTATTCGGATCAAGATTATTTAGTTGGGTTTCCCTCGTTCTGCCCGAACCCGAAACCAGCTACCTAATAACTTGGACATGTTTGACCTCGACGGTGCCGGTGGTAAGTCGAAATATGTAAATTATCATAATTGGGATCATCCCATAAAATTATATATATGTATTTTGACAAATGTGTAATTATGAGTTGAAAATTTAAATTACGCCCGATATTTTGAACTAATTAAATTAAATTTCAACAATTGAGCTATTAGGCTTTCCTCCAAAAATAAAAATAATAAAAATTTGAACTATTTGATATTATAATCTTTTGTGTGTCCCATTTATACCCAAATTTGATTACGTGCTATCTATATGAGGCTGGATTCCACATATCATTCTGGAGACGACAAATCATAATTGTATACCTATATACATAAAATGAATATCTATACATAGGAGAGAGATAATAAGTCTCAGGACTCCCAGTTACAAACAATGTTAAAATATAATTATTGATCAATGGAGGAACAATATCACAAATTTTGTTCAACTACATTGACACTAGCCTATATCCAAGCTATCCTAGCTATTTGGGTCTCAATAGCTCAATCACTCCATTTCTCATCATTCATTAGAAAAAAATGTCACGTGCGATAATCTTATACCGTTGTATCATGCGGTAAAGTGGTATGACTCAACTAGTATCACTACATATCTCCAATCAAAAGATCGTGAGTTCGAATCTCACTCTTTTTTTTTCTTTTTGATAAAGCTCGAACCGCACTCCTATTTGTTGTACTAAAAAAGTATTATGATCTCTATTTTTTGACACAATGACATTTAAGGCTGTAGGGTGTGAAGTAACACGAAATACTGACAAGGTATTTCTAAGGTGATTATTACTATATAATATATCAATTATGTCAACTTTAAGCATAGAAAATGTCAGCCATTTGAATACTTATCTCTAGATTAAATTAATATATATATATATATATATATATATATATATATATATAATAAACGATGTATCAATTTTCTGGAAATTTCATATACGATCATTTTTCTCTTCTATGGTACGTCTTTCTCATTTATTTATTTACCTGAGTCGTTCTTTTAATATTTTATTTTCTGAGGTCTTTCTTTATACATCAATTTTTTCTCAAGGTCTTTCTCTCATGTATGCATATTGCAAAGTCTTTCTTTTATATGCTTCGAGGAAAAGGAAAAAAGAAAAAGAAAAAAGGCAGTTCAATGGTTTGCTCACCTTCCAATTAGGAAAATATAAATCCGTTTGCAGAATAAAGTCAATTTACGCTATCCAATCACACAAAAGCAACTCACTTTTTAATGCTATAAAGATATCCTATTAAAGCACAGTCACATAGATATTTAAAACTCAAATAATTTGACCATATCAATCTATTAAACAACTTGTACCATTTTTTAAAAATTCAATAACTTGTAGCATTTGAGTTTCTATTAGAAGGAAAATTATACATAAACTCGACAATAATTTAAAATATCATTCATCGGTCAGAGTAATCGTAATTTGGAAACAAATAAGCCAAGTGAAACTAACTTTTGAAATTTAAAATATTATATTTACGAGATATCAGCCACATGAGTTGCGAAATATGGGCTTATTTTGTAAGTTTGTTTTACGTACTTTCAATTATTGCTACAAGAATCATTATTTATGAGATCTATACATCTTTATTTGTTAATCATTCAGTTTGATGCATCTTTCAACCTTTTATAATTTAATAATTTATATTGGGTCGATGATTTGGGATTTTTTTTTTCTTTTTTTGAAATTGTCTGAGTAAAAGGAAGGATATGGGTAAGCAGGGGACGTGTCAGAATCGGCGAGAAAATTGAAATGAGAATTTGGCTGCGCAGGAATCTTCCTGGAAATTAACCATCGCCAAGTAGATTACATGAAATCCACTTTATTTGCGTCGAACATCAATTCTTCTGAGTCACTTTCCTGGCCATGAACTTCTCCTGATTTCATCATCGCCTTCTCAGTTTTGTTCACCTGTTCTTCAACAACTGTTCAGGTTGGCACTCTAAATTGCACTCAGATTTTCCTGCTCTGTATGTTGTATTTTCATTTTTCTTAATTTCTTCTATTCCTCCGTAATTGGGTTCTGTCGATGAGATTTTTCTGTATTTGAGATTCTGGGTATTTGTTATTAGCTCTGATTTGTGAGGGAATGTGGCTGAAACTTCAAATGTAGCTGTTGAGGTCGGCTTTTTGTATATCGTTTCTTAAGAATGTACTCTGCCGACTGAAATCATCTGGGGTGAAATTTCCAAACCTTCTTTGTCGGTGGGATGGATGGCTATATTGTCTGATTGTTCATATTCGTTTCGTGAAATTTAATCCAAATCTTCTTCAAATCATCGATCCTGAATATTAGCATCGCCCCAGGAAATCTTGGGGTATTGTTTTGGTTCGGATTTCCCCTTGGAAATTGGGTATCTTGCTGGGATTACTCTATCGTCTTTGCATGAACTTGTTTTCTCTCGCTCAGACCACTCATTGATAGTTACTCTTTCTTCACCAAAAAATACAACCATGCAACCTTCTCAATCCAGGATTACTTGACTTTCATTTGGATTCTTGCTGAGCTTAGACGCTATTCGTTTATATGCTTAAAAGATAAACCCCTTTTGTGTTTTGGGGCTTGATTTGTGGAATGTAATTTCCTCCATTTGTAAAAGGTTTGAGATTGTCCACTTTATGCTGCTTACAATGACCTTCATGGTGTAGAGTTCTTGTAAAGTGATGGGTGGGAAAAGTTCTAAGCATGGAAGTTCAAGACGCATCTCCTCTAGTCGGTCTAGCTCACAGCAGCGGGGTCATTACGGTTATCAAGAGTCACCATATGCTCAATCAAGAAGCGAATATGCGCCACAGTATCAGTTTGCACCTCAAACTCCAGGCTATGGTGGAGCTCAGGCCCCCGAGTCCCGAAGGAGGCTGGAGAGGAAGTATTCAAGGATAGATGATAACTATAATAGTCTAGATCAGGTCTAGCTGCAATTTGCATGGTAAATTTATTGACGCCATCTTTGTCAACACGAAAATAACTTCTGTTTCTCTGATACTCTTTACAGGTTACTGAGGCATTAGCTCGTGCTGGCCTCGAGTCTTCCAATCTTATTGTCGGCATCGATTTCACAAAGAGCAATGAGTGGACAGGTTCGTTCTCACTTTCTCCATTAAACCATTCTGGTATCTATCTTTAGTAGCATGTGCACATGCTCATGATGCCTTTATATAGGCGCTAGATCATTCAACCGTAGAAGTTTACATCACATTGGAGATGGGCAAAATCCCTACGAACAAGCGATAACAATTATTGGGAAAACGCTATCTTCTTTCGATGAGGATAATTTGATTCCTTGCTTTGGTTTTGGAGATGGTATTTCTTCTAAAGATTTGTGCAATTGACCTATTTTTCGTACATGTTTTTGTTTTACTTAATAAAACTGAATTATATGACTCTAAATGGTTGGCAGCATCGACTCACGACCAAGAGGTTTTCAGTTTTTATCCAGAAGACCGATGTTGTAACGGATTTGAAGAAGTATTGAGTCGATATAGGGAACTGGTGCCTCATCTTCGACTTGCAGGTTGTAGCCTGCTTGTTTGCTACTACATTTCCCTATCGATAGCATTTACTTACTGTTCTTTCATTATTTGTCTCTGGGACAGGACCAACATCATTTGCCCCCATTATAGAAATGGCTATCACAATTGTAGAGCAGAGTGGCGGCCAATACCATGTATTACTAATAATAGCTGATGGTCAGGTACTTTCATCTCCATTCCTACTGGACTTCAATTTTCATTGTTTTATGGCTGAATAATTGAGAGTGCAGTCAGTTTTATCCATGAAGGTAATACACTGCCAGTTCAGTAAGATACCATGATATCTGTAACTATACAAGTTAAAAATTAATGGCAAAATTTGGGCATTATCAGCGAGTGAATGGTGATTTTCGTTATCTGTGGTGATGGCAAGTACTAACTGAGCCAAGTTTCTTAACATCGATTGAAAAATATAGTCTTTGTTCTCTTTCAACAGGTTACGAGAAGTGTTGATACCGAGCGTGGGCAGTTTAGCCCACAGGAAAAGAAAACCATTGAAGCTATTGTTAAAGCTAGGTAGGTTCAGGTTATCTATGATGAACTGAAATGGCATTATTCATAATTCTACACCGCCTAACTTTTGAAATTTTGTATTGAATTGTAGTGCATACCCCTTGTCGATTGTACTAGTTGGAGTAGGAGATGGACCTTGGGACATGATGAGAGAATTTGATGACAATATCCCAGCTCGAGCCTTTGATAATTTCCAAGTAAGTGTTTGTGATGTTTTTTGAGATGGCCTCGCTTCTGCCATTGTTTGAAGTCAATATTCGATCTAAGAAATGCAATTTTCGAACTTTGATTTTGCAGTTTGTGAACTTCACAAATATAATGTTGAAAAATATGGATCGTTCAAGAAAGGAAGCTGAATTTGCTCTTGCAGCTCTCATGGAAATACCCTCCCAGTATAAAGCAACACTGGAACTTGAAATTCTGGGGTAAAAACAAAATCTCAAGAGTAGTGTATTTAAGATTTATACTAGTTAAATGGTAATGTATTTCTTTTTGTTTATAGTTCTAAATTATATTTTCTTTTGCTGCTCCACCAGTGCCAGTAGAGGGAAGGCAATCGACCGGGTTCCTCTTCCCCCTCCTCGTTATGGTCCTGCTACTATTAGCTCCCCAAAGACCTCAAACTCGAGCAGTTCTCACTATGTACCGCCCTCCTTTGGTGGAGTTGCTCCTGTCCGAAGCGCACCTCCTCTAAGTTCGGTTTCTGATGCCCATGTAAATACTTATTTTCCCTTTTCAGATCCCAGGATAGCTCTTATTCTTCTCTTCATTCTATTCGAAAATTGAAAACAGAACTGATTAGTTTTTTACCTCTCTGGTGCAGGCTTGTCCCATTTGCATCACCAATGCAAAGGATATGGCTTTTGGCTGTGGACATCAGGTAATCGCTTTGGCAATTCAATTACTCTCAAGTTGAAGTTTATCAATCTGTCTGAACCATTACCCAGAAGAAATATTTACATTGTTCTATCTGCAGACATGCTGTGAATGTGGACAAGATCTTCAGTCGTGCCCCATATGCCGCAGCTTTATCCAAACTAGGATAAGGCTTTATTAACTGAAACCCACACTCTGATGAATTCTCATGCCTAAGACCAACTCCAGCTTCTTGCTTGAGTCATTTGCGCAACTCCTTTATCAGGACCGAAAAGGTGTCGTTGACTTGGTAAGTCGAACGATATGTCATTGTAAATATCGATAGCTTTTCCCATCGATTTTCGCCCATGTTTTTCCTAGCTAATCATTTCATAAAATGTCTAGAAATTATGTTGGTTAACTCTTGTGGTGGGTTATGATACCTCAAATTCTTTATGAAATCTGGTTTGCCATTAGTTTATATGTAATTACAATATCTTTCAGTGGGCAATAAGACTTGATTTCTCATCACCTGCTATGCTACGTCGAACTCTACCTAACACCTTCACAGAAAGATGCACTTGCATTGATTTCTCTACGTTATAGAGATGAGCTGGCTGAGTTTTAGGCAAACTCTACGCTCTCTTATGGATGCATGACTGCTTCTTTAACCTGAGTTTCAAACAAACTAGTTTGCATTTTTTGAATGAGCTAAATTTGCTGCCCACATTACTCCCTTCTCAACTAAATGGAGAACTTATATAAACAACTTCACCTCTTCCAACAACATCCAGACGAATCCGCATGGCCAATCATAAGCATTGTGCTGTAGATCTCTACATATTGAAAGCTACCATCTTACTGCTTCTGCTTCTGCTGCAATGTATAGAACTCACTTCTGCAGTCGAAGTGTCCTCGACAACGCAGACGGGAGGAAGATGGGAGCTTCTTTTGGATAACACTGGCGTGGTGGCCATGCACATGGCTTTAACCCACCACAACACTGTTGTTGTATTCGATCAGACAAGTGCTGGGCCATCTCGATATCGACTCCGACGACGATATGGGGGGAAAAGGTGTACACGGTCACATTCTGACTTGACAGACCCGGACTGTTATGCCCATTCTGTGGAGTATGACATTTCAAAGAATCAAGTTAGAGCTCTAGGCCTTTCATCTGATACCTGGTGTTCCTCTGGTTCCTTCCTTAGCAATGGAACACTATTACAGACAGGTGGGTATCGTAAGGGGGCTCGAAGAATCCGCTACTTCATGCCTTGTAAAGATCATCAATGTGATTGGAGGGAAGCCAAGGCAACGTTATCAAAGGATCGGTGGTATGCATCGAATCAAATCCTTCCCGAGCATGATCGGGTAATCGTTGTGGGCGGTAGGAGGACCTTCACTTATGAATTTGTACCGAAAATGGGCAAAGAAAAGTCATTTGATCTACCATTCTTGCACCGAACTTACGACAATCATGATGGAGGAAACAACCTCTATCCCTTTCTTCATCTCTCCTCCGATGGAAATTTGTTTATTTTTGCCAACAGAGACTCTGTCCTATTTAACTATAGACAAAACAAAGTGGTCAAGACCTTTCCGCGAATACCTGGTGGGGGTTCACGGAATTACCCTAGTTCGGGCTCGTCTGTGATCCTCCCATTGGATCACAAAAACGAGTTTCAAAAGGTTGAAGTCATGGTTTGTGGGGGCTCTGCATTTGGAGCTTATAGAGCAGCGCAGCGTGGCCAATTCTTGAAAGGTCTGCGATCATGCGGAAGAATGGTGATCACTGGGAACACACATAAATGGAACATGGAATACATGCCAGAACCTCGTCTCTTACACGATATGTTGATCCTTCCTACAGGCAATATCTTGATCATTAATGGTGCTAAAACTGGTTCTGCAGGGTGGGGTAATGCAAGAAATGCTTCACTTCAACCTTATCTTTACAAGCCCAAAAAACAATTAAATAAAAGATTCTCCATCTTGAAATCCACTAGAATAGCAAGAATGTACCATTCATCAGCGATTGTTATTCCCGATGGAAGGATCTTAGTTGCAGGTGGGAATCCCCATAGAAATTACACATTTAGAAATGTAGCTTACCCAACTGAACTCAGGTTACAAGCATATCATCCACACTATACTGAGCGAAAACACGATGATAACAGGCCAAGAAATGTGACGATACACTATGCTCACGGTAATTATGGAATCAAATATGGCAGAGAGTTCACCGTACGATTCAAATTGGAGAGGAGAAGGAGTGACGTTTTAGAATTCAGCGCGTATGCACCGCCATTCACAACCCACTCCATTTCGATGAATCAAAGACTACTAAAACTGAAGAACAAAAGCATCAAAAGAGACACTAATAGTGAATGGATGAACGCAGTTGTAGAGGCTCCTCCATCTCCCAATGTTGCACCTGCCGGTTACTACTTGTTTACCGTTGTTAATGGAGGAATTCCCAGCATTTCTCAATGGATAAGATTCATAAACTCCTGACTAACCGGCTTTTGAATTTCGATGTCAAGAAAACCAATAAAATGAATAATTATTATAAAGTTATATCATTAAAATAAAGAGATACATATTATGTTAAATTACAAAATTAGTTCATGGATTTGAGTAATTGTATTTATTTACTCCAAATTTAAGTCATGTTACTATTATCGTGTCTAATTTACCCTAAATTGGACTTTTCTTTTTTTATCTATGGGTTGGGATCTCCATATCCTACCATTTTTTTTCCTTTGGACAGAACTGAAAAGTGATGGCTTATTAATTATTTACTATTTCGCTAACACACCATATTTAAATTCCAAACCACATATGGAAACCGAAAGTATAATTTTATTTTGTCCTGAACCGACCCAATATTCTCTTCTTTTTTTTTTCTTTTTGAAACAACCCAATATTCAATTGATAATCCATTTCTAGTGCCTTCTCCAATAAAATTTAAAAGAAAAAAAAAATCTAAAGCAAATTGTCACGTTAGATTTGATATTGGTGAGAAGTGGAGGCTCATTTTTGTTGGGACGTCGATTTCAATGGGTCTTTAAGCATTGTGCGCGTGCGCCATTCACTAAATCCAATCCTCGTCGTAGCCACGTCAGATTTAGCCTCCACCTACTCACCAACAACGTGTAAATTTCTAGTCACGAAATTTCCGTTGCTATCTGCCAACACATATCCACGTCAGCCAATAACCAATAAAATTTGAAATAATCTATTTCCTCTAATTCCTTCCATAACATTCTCCATCTTCCAGCATCTTTTTTCTTTTTTTTAATTTCGGAAAGTTCGAGAAACCACCAACATAAATTATATCACTAAGTCAACTTCTAAATCAATGCAATTTCAACCAAAAATAAATAAAGAAGTATCAGTAATTTTTATCCATAATCTCATGGAAGGTGAAATTTAACGGAAGTTCTATAAACTTCTGTCCAAGTGTGCAGTGCCGCGGACTTTAATTGACCGATAAAGTTAATTTCGACACGACTTTGTCTTATTCTCATTCATTATCATTATCCGAAAATAAATTCGTTTTTTCCATCGAATCACCACCGTTCAAGATTAAGCTGAATAAATACCAAATTAAAATTAGAATTTATGAATATTAAAGAATGTTTCCATCGCCCCCCACCAACCAAACCAATTGGTCTTGTTCAATATTTTAATGGAGATTTATGGGGCCTATAAATTAATGGGCTGTACAAGAATTCATCTTGAATATGTATAAGGCGTTCACGTAGATCATCGCCGGAAAAGTTCTCTCTCAACCGATTTCATTACCAAGATGACAATCACAGCCTCGCCGACCGTCAAAGATGGATGTCTCATCGTCGGCGACAAGCTGGTTCTGACCGCCGTCCCGGAAAATGTCGTCGTCTCTCCGGTGACCCACCGCTCAGCTTTCATCGGCGCTACTTCTTCCTCCCCCAGCTCTCGTCATGTATTTTCTCTCGGAATTCTCCGGTGAGTACTATTTTTAAGCATGAATAAATTACTATTCAATCTAAAAGCTTAAACTAGAGAAATGAACTGTGGATGCAGAAGGCAGGAGTTCTTATGCCTATACAAATTCAAAATGTGGTGGATGATACCACGAATTGGGAAATCAGGCAGTGAAATTCCAGTAGAAACCCAGATGGTGCTGTTGAAAGTGACACAAGAATCTGCCTTAAATGAAGAAACTTCTGCCGATCAAGATACCGAGGGCTGCTCATACATCCTGATTTTGCCAGTTTTGGATGGGCAATTTCGTGCAACTTTGCAAGGGAGCTCAGAAAATGAGCTTCAATTTTGTGTTGAAAGTGGTGAGTTTGTGGTTTCTTTTTTTTTTTTTTTTCATTTTTGTTGATCCAATCGAAATTAAAGTTTACAGGGTATTCTTATATATTCGTTGCTCTGTTTTAGGGGATGTTAATGTGCAAACTTCAAAGGCAATGGAAGCAGTATTTATAAACTCAGGAGATAACCCTTTTGAGGTCATTACAAATTCTATCAAGTAAGCCTCAGCTTCTTTAATTCACTTAATTTCTACTGTGATTAATAATTATGTATTCCTTGAACAAGTTGATCCAAATTCTGTAATTTTCACTACTGATGTAGGATCTTGGAAAAGGTCAAACCAACTTTTAGTCATATTGACAACAAGAAGGTGATCCAACTCTCAAAAATGAAAAATATATTTCTTTTTTTTTGCTGTAATATTATTATGATTATTATTACTGTAGGAATTCCAATTAGAAAAATCATATTTTTGTTTGTTTGTTTTTGTTTTAACAGGTTCCTCCTCATGTGGACTGGTTTGGTTGGTGCACTTGGGATGCGTTTTACACCGAGGTTAATCCACAAGGAATCAAGGAAGGTCTCCAAAGGTAAAAATATTCAACTTTCTAAATAATGTAGAGTAGATTATTGGAGGCAGGTTACCACAACGTAACTGACCGTTTTAAATTTCTATTCGATAGTTATTAGTCTTATTCATAACTTTTCCGACCGTATTTACAATAAATTGGAACGTAAGAATGCTAATACAAGTTTTCATTTCCTTCTCCTTCGCTAGATATGATTTTTAATACAAATCTTAACTAGTTAGTTTAATTTCTTAAAATAAACATTAATTTTAGATAAAAATATCTATGACTTTTTATTATAAGAAATTTTTTAAGTTGAATTATTTTTTTTACAAAATTTTATTTAATTTTACTTAGATATTACTAATTAAAATCAATGAAATTGTTAAAATAGAAAATTTAATTATGCAATATGTTAATAGTTGTCGACGTGAATTAATATAAATTATATTAATCTTTTTAGTTGATATAATTTTATTTTAATTAATTATTTTTTTTTGTTTTAAAACAACATGTGAACACTTCTTGACTATTTTGGCCAAAGTGAGTATAGGTCGAATCAAAATTTCCCTCCAATGTATTATAAAAAAAAAGATTAAAAATTATATTAGCATGCATATGCTACAAGTCTACCATTTATTTAAATTATTTTTAATTGGGTAGAAATATAAAATGAGCATTCTAACTCTGTATCAACAGTTTCAGCGATGGAGGTCTTTCTCCAAAATTTCTGATTATCGACGATGGTTGGCAACACACCGTAAATGAATATCGCAGAGAAGGTGAACCAGAGATCGAAGGGATACAGTAAGCTCAAACTTAATCTCTTCTTCATCTGAACTTTTGATCTCAATCTCATTCATTTTCTCACTACAAATTTCCTTCTTCAACTCCAGGTTTGCTACAAGACTAGTGGACATCAAAGAGAACGGAAAGTTCAGCGGTTCTGGTTCCGATAATGCCTGCAATCTCCAAGATCTTGTTCATACCATCAAAGAAAAATACGGCCTCAAGTGAGTTTCTTCATTTTTGGTAGAAGGAAGTTTTTCAAATTTTACCTAAGAATGCGGGATTGTTGATGTTTCCCGTAATTGCTCTATAAAATTACAGATATGTCTATGTATGGCATGCTTTGGCTGGTTACTGGGGAGGAGTACTCCCATCTTCCGAATCGATGAAGAAATACAACCCTAAGATTGAATATCCCGTTCAATCGCCGGGCAACATGAGTAATATCGGCGATATTGTTGTGGACGTCTTGGAGAAATATGGAGTTGGGGTTATAAACCCTGAGAAGATTTATGATTTCTACAACGATCTCCATGGTTATTTGGCGAAAATTGGCATTGATGGAGTCAAGGTGGATGTCCAGAGCCTAATGGAGACCTTAGGTTCGGGATATGGTGGGCGTGTGTCAATCACTAGGCAGTATCTAGAAGCATTAGAACAATCAGTTGCAATAAATTTCAAAGAAACTAATCTGATTTGCTGTATGAGTCATAACACAGACTCGATATACAGGTTAGTCGATTTGTCTACTCCTAAATGAGTAATGACGTAGACAAGCATGTAAATTTTTTTGATATCCATTCTCTGATTTGTTAATTTGTGTTGTCAGTTCAAAGAAGAGTGCAGTTGCTAGAGTTTCAGAGGACTTCATGCCTAGAGAGCCAACATTTCAGACTTTACATGTTGCTGCTGTGGCTTTTAATAGTCTTCTAATGGGGGAGATTGTAGTGCCAGATTGGGACATGTTTCATGTGAGTTGTTCTATTCTGCATTACCCTTTTTTTTTTCTTTCACACCTCTTAAATTACACCTGCTTCTCTTAATTCATCCAGAAAACGAGGTTTCATTTTTAGTTTTATGATTTAAAAAGTTATGCCTACCTATGACTACTTTCGTTCGTTTTAAACTTCACTTAACTTTTTTTCAAGAAGAAAATAACAAAATAAGGAAGTAATGTTTATAAGTTTAATTTTCATCCAGCGTGGTCTTAGTGGAGCAATCATACACAATATCATTTGCGATTTCTATCATGGAAGAGAAACTTAAGATGATCAGATCTAAAAGGATGCATTTTTTATTTTAATTTACAGAGCAAGCATGAAACAGCTGAATTCCATGGTGCAGCCAGAGCATTGGGCGGTTGTGCCGTATATGTAAGGTATATAGCGCATTGGCTTCTAACATATTTCTAATCTGTATTAGCCAATCTCTTTAAACTTGTTACTAAATGAAACTATCATCACGACAGCGACAAGCCCGGGAATCACGATTTCAAAATACTGAGGAAGCTAGTGTTGCCTGATGGATCAGTCCTTAGGGCAAGATATGCAGGCCGGCCTACTCGAGACTGCTTATTTCGAGACCCCGTAATGGATGGAAAAAGGTATTAAGAATAAGTCTCATTAGCTCCAAACAACTTCAAATTCAAACCAATGATGTCAAATATGTAATCTTCTCCTTCATGCCATTGGCTTCCGCAGGGTGCTGAAAATATGGAACTTGAATAAGTTAACAGGAGTCCTCGGCGTCTTTAATTGCCAAGGAGCAGGAAATTGGCCACTGATGAAAGTCGCTCAGAATGAAGCTACCTCGACTTCTACAACACTAAGTATCAAAGGTAGTGTCTGTCCAAATGATGTAGAATTTCTTGAAGATGTTGCAGGTGAAAACTGGGATGGAGATTCTGCAGTTTATGCCTTCAACTCAGGTATGATTTGAACTCCTCATGAGAATCCTTTATTTTCTCCTCCTTTTCATTGGTAAGAAAGCTCTTCTAAACTGAAAATGTTTCGACTTGTGTTGTAGGATGTCTTTATAAGTTGAAAAAGAAAGAAAGTCTTGAAGTTGGATTGAGAACTTTAGACTGTGAGATATACACCGTTGCTCCAATCAGGGTCAGTGAAGCTGTGTACTAGACGACGTCAAGTTATGAATTTTTATCACTTCAAGACTCGTCTTTATACATGTTTACGTGTTCAGGTTTTCGGTAATGACATCCACTTCACACCGATAGGATTGCTTGACATGTATAATTCAGGAGGAGCGACCGAAACTCTAACCCACAACGTGGATCTTTCACAATGCACCATCAAAATGACGGGGCGATTCTGTGGCAGATTCGGAGCCTACTCGAGCTCCAAACCGAACCGTTGTGTAGTTGACATGAAAGAAGAGGAGTTTACCTATGACTCTGGAAGTGGACTACTAACAGTAAACCTTGAACATGGATGCATTTCAAGAGAGATAAAGTTTGTATATTAATAATCTGTCGACATGTTGTCCATGTAAAATTGTGAGGAACATTTTGTTTGCGGCATATAGAAATATGAATCTCAGTCGATGCTTTTGGCTCTCAATCTTATAAAAGAATCCGAAAGCAGAGCTCGACGTGGTATGCAATATAACTTAGAATGGCGGACTGATACGCACTTATTTCTAATTAATAACTTTCTAAATATGTAATGATATATATGGGACATACGACACTATTTATTATCAATTTTTTAAAGATTATTATTTATTGTCAATTTTAGCATAAAATTTAAAATTCTCACTCTCTATTTATGATGTAATATTTTTTTAAAAAATTAACAATTTACCACTTTTCTTAATGTTTGAAGTCGCAGTAAAATTTGTTCACGCTTGTCTATCCATTCAAACTTGTATTTTACTTATATTCTAGAGAATGACAGAAATTTATACATAGCTTCACATACGAGCCTCTTTAGGACTGCTCTCTTGTTGTTGAGACTCTCAATGACTCGACGTCTAATACAACTCTCATCTCGTCAGGATTGGCTTCCATTCTAACACCATATAAAAAAGTGCTAGTTCATGTTAATCATTGATCACACTTGAAATTTTTAAAATTTGATATCCTGCTAACGTTTTGTTTGAAACGTTGAATTCAAGAAAATCACGGTGAGACAACAAAAATATGATGGAGACTATACGAGAAATTCATACCTTACCTTGACACGACCATCTGATTGTGGGCCAAACAAGGTTTTGGGCTTGGAAGAATCTCACTGGGCCTTGTTGTCCTGAGCCCAAAAACTCAGGCCTCGTATTCTTGGCCCATCTATTTCAGTGCGAGTGCGATATTTTTCCCGATAAGAAGAGTGGCCATCTAACTCTGTGTTCGTTCTGTGCCCCTTATCCTCTCATCACCGGCTGGGTGTTAGGCCTCCTCCTCTAAAACCCTTCTTCTTCTTCTTCCTCCTCCTCCTCCTCCTCCTCTGAATCAGAAATGGCTTCCACTTCAGCCACTTCAATTTTGAAACCCTTATCCAAAGCAGATTCTTGCCTCCTCTCCTTGCCCTCTGTATTCACCTGCAGACCTCCGCACTCCTTCCTCTCTTTCCCCTCAAAACTCATCCGCTTCCATCTTTCTTCTTCTTCTCATTCTTCGCCCTTTTCACTCTCTAAGAAGAAGCCCCACCCCTCGTCCTTGGTTTCCTTCGTAGCCCAGACCTCCGACTGGGCCCAAGAAGACGACACCATCACCATTGACCCCAAACTCGGCGGCGACGAAGAGGAAGAAGATGAACAAGGGCCCCATTGGGAGAATCAGGAGCTCAGTGAGACTGAGTCTCGTATTTCTGATTGGGAAGGCGAGGCCGAAGATGGAGGAAGCGAGGCCGAAGGGGAGGACGGTGAAGGCGGACTTCTCGAGGAGGAGGAAGAAGAAGAAGGCTCTTATGAGGAACCAAATGAAGACGCTAAGTTATTTGTTGGGAATTTGCCTTATGATGTCGATAGTCAGAAATTAGCCATGATCTTTGGGAAGGCCGGGACCGTGGAGATTGCTGAGGTGAGTAATTGAACATTTGTTTTCGCCTTTCTGTTGGGTCTCTTTTGGATGTGGATTTGGTTTAAGCTTTAAATCTGCTTGTGAGGATTGTAGGTTATTTACAACAGAGAAACAGATCAGAGTCGTGGTTTCGGGTTTGTGACTATGAGTACCGTTGAAGAAGCTGAGAAAGCTGTGGATACCTTCAACCGTTACGTAAGCTTCTGATGTTCAAATTTGTGCTTATATGCATTCATTTGTACCATTAACTTGCTCTTCTAGACAAATGACTCTAGCATCTGTGTTTCATGAATCTGAGGGTCTGTATGGTGTTTGAGAAAATGTGTAGTCTAGGAGCTAGGACCAACTTCTAGTTCTGACTCTCAGTTTGTTGAATTATAGCACCTTCTGTAATTTTCTGCTGGTTTGAATGTTTGGCGATGAAAATTTTGTCCATCTCTATCCATACTAAGGCAGATCTTTGTTCTCAACTTCTTAGCCGAGTCTTCACTTAAACTTCTGTTATGTGCTGTTACCATAGTATCTCAACTCAACGTTTACTGCTGTTTAATACTACTAGCATTTTTTAACTTCTCTAGCTTCTTTTTCATTGTCAATTCTACAGAACTTTATGTGAACATAAATTATATTTTCCCTTGTTACAGGAATTAGAGGGAAGGCTGTTGACTGTTAATAAGGCTGCCCCAAGAGGTGCGAGGCCAGAACGCACACCTCGAACATTCCAGTCGTCTTTCAGAATCTATGTGGGTAATCTTCCATGGGATGTAGATAATGCCCGCCTCGAGCAGGTTTTCAGCGAACACGGTAAAGTAGTAGAGGCTCGGGTTCTTTACGACCGGGACACTGGCCGTTCTCGTGGCTTTGGCTTTGTGACAATGGCTGATGAGACTGGAATGAATGATGCCATTGCTGCTCTGGATGGACAGGTATGAAAATTGAATTTTCTTCAGTTAAATATCTCAGTAAAACAAGTTAGGAGATGCAAACTGTTATCGAATCTCGTCAGCTGCTCACAAACATTGTGAAAATTGAATTGTGCAGAGTCTAGATGGAAGGGCAATTAGAGTAAATGTTGCAGAGGAAAGACCAAGGCGCAACTTCTGAAAGTGAAGCAAGATGAATGAATATCCAAAGACCGTTTCTCTCTTTGTTAACTTTTTTGTTTCCCAGAAGGTATAGGTGAGTTTTGTAGTGCCATTGTTTAGCCACCTTCTTAAAGTGTAATTTGATTGTCTTTTATGCTTCTAAATTTTCAAGTCTGTTATTGATTTGGATGATGTACGAGTTACAAATTTCGCAACTTCCACATCCCCTCTTCCATTTTTCCTCCCTCCATCTTCTTCATTACACTCTTATTTGGCCCAATTGAATGGAATTTATAAGCCAGACAGCACCAAAAAATTCACATTTAACATCTCATGTTTTATTTCCAGTGTCTGTTGATCTGAATGTTGCGAACTGGTTGAAGAAAAAGAAAGGAAGTGGATATAATATAACAGACCCAACTTTTTCCACTCCTTATTTGGACTCAACATCCATATCGAGGAATAATTTACAAGCATATTATTAATTCAATTCGATGCAAACGATAATTTAAAGTTTCTATACAGCATTTTTTGTTTTTTAAAAGAAAAGCAGCACCTGAAATTGATGACCAAACCAAATCAGTTGTCACGTAACTGTGCTTCTCGGCTGGTAAGAGGCACATAACGAACAGAAGTTTCATCGTGGATGTTAACAGAGCCATCAGCATCCTTGTCCACAACCTTCAAATCCTGGAATACGCTCCCAACTGGAATCACCATTCTCCCGCCTGGCTTTAACTGCTCGATGAGAGCTGGCGGAATTTCAGCCGCTGCTGCTCCAACATGAATGGCATCGTAAGGTGCACACTGTGCCCAACCCTGCCGGCCATCTACGGAATCCAACAACAATTAAACTCTCATTACAAACGCATATTAAAGCAAATATGCCCTCAAAGAAGTACCCCCGTCCTATTTCTGGCAGGGCTAGTCCCCCTCTGATCCTAAAAGTCATCAGTCGCTACTGTTCACAGAGAAACATTGTTAAAATTAATGTGCACGTGTTGGGGGAGAGGAGGGAAATCCTAGAGATTCCTGAAGAAGAATTGAACTCAAACTTACCATTACTCTCAAGAATGTACCATAATATGGTTTGCAATAAAAAAAGTCCAATTCAAAATGCGTGCCAGATACTAACTTCACTGCATTCTTCTTACAGTCAACTAAACTAGGAACAGAGTTCTCCATTCTAGATCGAAAGAAAATCTGTGCTCTAGAAAAGGGAAAGAAGAATGACATACCACCAACATGTACAGAGAGGGAACCTTCTTTCAGCAAAGGAGCAGCAGCACTTTTTTTAATATTCTCCATTGAGGAAACAACCAACTCAGGAATGTGTTCCACGCCAACTGCACGACCTTCTGGTCCGACCATCATCGCAAAGCATGCAGTCAAATATCCCGTTCCTGCCAAGGAGATCAAACATGTAAGTTCAGCTCAAATAAGTAGGAAAGTCGGGGGCAGGGCAAGGAAATAATAATTTGGAGTTAGAAATTTGAAAATGCAATCTCAAATGTGAAAAGATAATAAAAATTATATCTTTTAGGGTAGCAGTCGCACAATCCTAAAAAAATGACAGGAGGAAGTTTGTTTGCTTGTCTTTTTGGGTTAGCACATTACACCCCACCCAAAAACCAACTAGTTGGAAATACCACGTCTTAATGAATGAAGACTACAACCACTTACAATCAACTTGCACTTTCACTTGGGCAGTGCATGTTTAGATCATACCCTTATAAGACAGACCAGAATAATTCTTCTACATTTTGATTTCAATCTATACCAGTGGTTTCTTTCCTTCTGATGGGGGAAGGGTCGAGAAGTATGTGTAAAGATGGGGAAAAAATATCAATCCTTGAGGGATGTCCAAACTGAAAGCAAAATTTAGATGAAATTAACAGAACCAGAAAAAACAGATCATTAAATTTACTGATTAAAAGTCCAGACCAAGAACGTCTAAACTACTTAGAACTCAAACATAGTTGGGCCTTCTAAGGAATTCAACAATGATGATAAAACAAAAAAAATTCAAACTTCAATATGTAGAAGCTATTCGTTAGATGCACAACCTGAGCCAACGTCCAAAGCGTGCATTCCAGGTTGCAAGTGTTTCTCCAATAATTGAAGGCAAGTGGCATGCATGTGAGGAGCCGATATAGTGGCATTATAACCTATTGGCATTGGAGTATCAACATAAGGTGGAGTACCATCCGGCACAAAAAATCCCCTATCTATGCTCTCCATTGCTTCAGACACCTTCTTTGATCTAATCACTCCATAGTTGTGGAGACTGTCCACCATTTCTTTATTCGTACCTATCCCACTTCCAGTCCAGAACCTCTGCAATGTGATTACAAATGACATTGTAGGATCAAATTTTCTACCAATAAAAGAAAAAGACTTCCTCACAAGGAACACGATGAAACACACCAACAGAAGAAAATTCACAAGAACTTCCTAAAACTATCTGCCAACTCAAGCATTAATGTACGAATTTATCCATCTTCCAAGCGAACCTAATTCATTCTCATTTGCTCAAGTACCTTATTAAGCTTCACAGCCTCGGAAGTGGGGCCGTTTATTAGGACACTCGGACATGTATGCCGTTGAATTTCATAATCAAAAGTTTGCATACTCCAAGGAAAATATACCAGCATAAAATATACTACACATACCACTCGTACTAAAATCCCCTGAAACTAGACGCATTGAAAATAGATAAAATGATTAAGCTGAACATCAAAGAGTTTATCAAGAAGTTTCAAAGGGATATTTCTCTAGGGAACAATTATCATAAGAGAGCACTAAACAACAATTTATATGCTTAAGAACATATACATCAGATCAAAATGAATTAGGAACTCGAATTTGGTTCTAACCCAGTTAACAATGATCAAAAACTTCTTCTAGAATCGAAGAAGAAGCAGAACATGGTATACAAAATAACAAAACTAAAAAAGTCGGATTCGATTGTTGATGCACATAAATAAACGCGAAATACCTTCAAGGTGGGATACGGTTGGGGCAAATTATCCATTTAGGGAATTCCGAGTATCTCCAATTTCAAATTAACGTAAATCTTGGAAAGAAGAATAGAGAAGCGGTGGGAATTAGCGGTAGAAAGAGAGAGAGGGTACCTCCATCTTGAAAAGAAGACAATTACCCGTGACGAAATGAGGGTCTAGAAATCGAGGTAAGAAGGAGACAAAAGTGGCGGTAGTTCTAGAGGCAGAAGGAATCGTCGTGATAGAGGAAGGTAGGGCGGCGGGAAGGCGGCGGCGAGAAGAGGGACGGTTTAAGCAGAGTTCGAGGGGGGGAGCGCAGTAGCGGCAACCAAACGCTAATGCGAGTGTGAGTGAAGAGGCGGAGGCCGATGATATTTGAGTTACACTCATTTCTCCCTCTCTCCGCCCTTCTCGCTCTTTCGGAAAATTTATTATATAAAATAATTAAAAAATAAACCAAACTTTTGACAGCTGTCAAGTATCTACGCAGTCTACGATTCCACACCGTCACCGAATCACCCATTTCTCGCACGTGTGAGACTACTGGATCAGTGAAACGATCACAGCCGTAGATGTAGGACGGTAACTTTCCATTTTTCGTTGCTCCATCATCCATTTCTAATTTAGGGAATTCGAATTTTCTACGAATATCATTTGAGTTTTTATATTTAAGAGAGATTGTTTTATGAAACATTGCGGTGACAGTTTTAAATTTCCGGATTTATTTTAATTACAATTTGACATATATATATATAAAAATATTATAGTGCAACAATCATAATTTGATGCGAAACGAGCATAACTCATTCTCTTTCCTTTCCCATGTTTTTATTTTTTTTTAATGTAAAATGAAACTCACAACTTATTGATTGTAAATATATATAAATTATCGTAGAGTTGTATTCGCTTTGGCTTTTCCTACGTCACTTTATTTCTTTTGTAAAAATAAATCTTTAAAGACGAAGGAATGTAAAAGTGGAAATTTGAAATTTTGGCCCCTTCCATAATTCACTTTGTATTTATGACTCCATTTTGAAAAAAACTAATCTATGACCCCACTCTTCTTTATTTATTAATAATTTCATAATTTTTAAATGTGAAATTACCGTAGTACCTCCTCATGTTTCAAAATCAACATCTCTCCCTCCACAAATCTCTTTACCAATCTTTACTCCCTCCACAAATATCTCACAATAATTAATTACAATCCTAAATGTGCGAATTTAATTACAAAAAAGTCAAGATTACAAAAATCTCGGGACAATATTGCATTAAATGCTCGAGATTTAATTGATAACAATAGGGTCAAGAGGAGGGAGAATGTAAAAAAAAAAAAAGACCTGGAATTGGGATCTAGTCTTTTTTTTTTTGCATTATCTTCCTCTTAATTCCAGTTTCTTTTAGTGCTGTCAATTAAATCTCGGGCATTTAATACAACTTTGGCACAACATTTATGAAACCTTAATTTTTTTTACAATTAATTCCGAACAAATCTTATGCATTTATTCTTTGATCATGCAAATCTTTAGAAAAAAAATGCTAAGGGTTGAGATCGGTGGATAATTTTACTTAAAATAAACAAGGATATTTTGATAATTTTACGAAGATAAAAAATGGAAAGGGGTCTTCTAGATGAGCTATACAATGGGGTTAGAAACCCAATTTCCCATGTAAAAGAAGTTGAGAACTTGAAACTACGGTGGTTGTCGGTACTTCTCTCCCTTTCTTCTTTCTTTCTTTCTCCCTCTGTCTTCTTTCATTCTATAGTTTTCTTTTTCCCTATCTTCCCTTTTTTGTCAAGGTTCGTCCTCCTCTTCATCTTCCTCTCCATTATTCTCTTTTTTTTCTTCTCTATTTCTCTCCCTTGGCCTCTGTTATTCTTTCCGTTTCTCATCCCTACTTCTTCATCTCTAAACCAACCAAAATCGATCGACCACGTGATCGAAGTTGCAGGGTCTTCAAACACCGACGAATTCCGATGAATAAAAATTGAAAATTTAGAAATTCAAAAATCTATTATATACCAATTGAAAGTTTAGAAACACTTTGTAAAGTTCAAAGAAGTAACCTTAGTTGCCAATTAGTCGAAGGTATTACCAATATAGTTAAAAAGGATCATATATTCAATCTACCCCTTCTGTTTCAATATATGCATGAAACACAAATTACTTAGAAGTCACAATATAAGCCTTCAAATCAGACCCAAATATTTATATAACAAAAGCTATAATGTAAACATTTGTAAAAATAAAAAAAAAAGAAATTATAATAATAATAGTAGGGCCATACATTGCTTGATGGCATTGTCTTTGGAGAATTTAGCAGCTAACAAAATGCATTAATGGCCCCTAAGGAACACAATGCCTATAGGCTATAGCCCTGAATCTCTTTCCATTTCACCTATCTCCCCTTTGTTTTATATCTCTGTCCTTTTCATGTAACACACAGCTTCCTTTCTTCTAATTGATACCTTTCATTCTGCCATGTTTTTTCTGAAAGTGAAAAAAAGTATGAGCCTGCTCATCTGGATGAAGATAATTCCAACTTTAACAACAAATTTCCAAAGCATCTTTTGGCCCAAAGAAGAACAAAGACTGTTTAAAATCTCTCTCAGTTTCCACAGAAACCAATGCCATTTCAGGCATCATCTTAACCAGAAATTCCCAGTCCCTTTATGGATATAGTATATAATTCATGGAGTCACTAGCTTTAGCTTTTGTTTCAACTCCAGTTGCAAGCAAGGAACCACTTCAACAATGCTTTATTCCATCTCACTATGTTATATAAACCTCTACACATCCAAATTCTAGATCACCAAACTAAGAATTTCATACTAGTATCAGTTTGTTTTTTGCAGCTAACTCTTTTGTTCAGTTTGCTTGGTTTGATATGGCAGCCCACACTCGCCCAGCTCCCAAAATGCATCAACTGATCAAAAGTGACAGGAGAATGTTCTCTGCCTCTGATGACAATGCAATGACAAAGCAAGTTCTCGCAACTCATGCTCCGGACGGGCGCGAGGTTGATGTCAAGCCCATCCTACTCATGGTTGAGGACATCATCCGCCGTGCCACTCCCGATATCAGAAAAGTTCTTGATGTGAAACCAACCCAACCCCTTTGATTTTCTCCATTTGGCTTTCTTTCCAGTTCTTTCACTTAAAACTGATGCGTTGATTGTGGTGTATGAAATGATGCAGGGCAGTGACCAGCATATGGAGATGTTAGAGGAACAGATCAGTTCAGCAGAAATGGATGGAATGCTTGAATCTCTGGCTCATGTCATAGAGAAAGTCGGCAGCAAGGTCGAATATATACACATTTGCCCTCTGAAACTTTTTGAATTTTGTTCCTCTACCATTTCTGCTATGTTTAAGATGTAAAGGCTCTTTTTTTTTTGCTTCTTTTTGAACTTTTTGACACTGAGAGCTATTGAACTTTTGATGATTCTGTTACTGCAGCTAGCATGTAAGTGCTCAGGGGGAGATGCACATGCCACAACTATGGCTATACTGAACTTGCTCTCAAACTACTCATGGGATGCAAAAGTGGTGATAACAATGGCAGCCTTTGCCGTGAGCTATGGACAGTATTGGCTTTTGGCTCAACTTTACACAACCAATTTGCTAGCCAAGGCTCTGGCTCTGCTGAAGCAATTGCCTGATGTAATAGAGCATTCCAATTCAGTGAGACCCCAATTCGATGCGCTTAACAAACTCATCCAGGCTATGCTGAATGTAACGAAGTGCATTGTCGAGTTCACGGAGCTACCGTCTCAATACATTTCACATGACACGCCTGCAATGTCGGTTGCCATAGCTCATTTTCCTGCAGCTGCATATTGGACCATCAAAAGTGTCGTCGCTTGTATGTCGTTGATCGAAAGCCTTGTTGGCTTGAGCCATGAGTGAGTGATGCATTCCAATCTACTCAACAGTATCTTTGTAAGAGATCGAGCCTAGTCCATAATTATGAATCAAACTTGTTTTCACTGATATGTTTCAGACGGATCATGTCGACCACCGAAGTATGGGAACTTTCGAGCTTGGCTCACAAGGAGACAAATATACACGAGCATCTCCAGACACAGCTGGATCTTTGCTTGCAACATATAGGTGAGAAAGCAAACATTTGATTTGACAGTAACTTGCAGACCTCAAATTGTATGCTG